TCTTTCCTTCCCCTTCTCTTAAAAAAATAATAAAAACAAATGGGAAGAATTTTCAGCCAGATGTGGTAGTGCATGCTTATTATCTGAGAACATAGAGGGTGGAGGCAGGGGGATTGTAGGTTCTAGACCAGCCTGCAACTAGATGTTAGTCTGTACAGTGAGACACTGTCAAAAAATGACAAGTTCTTTACCCCTCCCTAGGGATCTTTATTACAAAATTAATAGTTGTTGGGGGAGAGACTTTTTTTTTGTGTGTGTATCCTCTGATAAAGGTGCTCATGTTCCTATAAACAATACTAACAAATTTGTTGGGTCTTAAAAAATAGACACATAGTTGAAGTAGAGAGTTTGAGAAGAAAAGGATTAGTAGGGGATCATAGGGTAATGGAAGAGGGGTGAATGTGATCAAAATACATTATGTACATGTATGACGATGTCCTAATAAAAACATCTACATATATAGAAACATACCAGGTGTGTGGGGAAGGGAGAAGTTTAGGTATGTAACTACTTGACAGAGTCCCAATATTACAAAAAATAAAATGATGTAATACTATATTTGAAGTGGCATCACTTTTCACCCCCCCCCCCCCCCCCCCGGTCTCTTTAATTTAGCCGTATAGTTCTGGCTGGTGTAAGACCTAAAGAGATCTGCCCACCTCTGCCTTTGCTTCCCAAGTACTAGAATTAAAGATGTGGTAACACATCTGGCTACCTCCTTTTGATTTTATAATTACTAGTTTATATACTTCTTTCTCCTATTGGACCATACAGAAACAATAATTTTAGGTTCTATAATAAATGATAACATTTTCTTAGAAGATGACTCTATGCTTGTGCTTGCTTTCTCTAGCTTGTGTGGTCAGAGTAGCCACACTGTCCCATAGATGCCCCTTCTTTTCTGCTACTTTCTCCTTACATCTGAGGCCTATGAGAAACTCCCTTCTTAAATACACCTAATTTTAATTTTTGAGGAATTCATGTCCTATATAGATTGGCGAAGCTTGATGTGTGATGATTTGGCAATCTGAAAAAGCAATGGGTGAGGCAGGTAGTCAGATAGAGCATTGTGTCTTAGAGAAAAAGGAATGGGTGGAAACGGCTTAGAGGCAGGATTGCTGGCTTTGCTTAAACCAGACAGACGTCAACAAACTGGCCCTTTGCCCCAAATTTAGTTGTGCACTCATTTCTTGCTTTTGTTTTAAATAGCTTGATTGAGGTATACTTTATTATGTATATTCCCTTTGTAAAGAAAGCTGTATTAGAGGCAGCCAGCTCCTCCTTTTAATGGCTGATGCCTCATGACAGTGGACAGTTGAGGTATTCCTGGATTAAACAGATGCCACTCAGCGTAACTTGAGAAACTGATTGCTGGAATACCCTAACTTTGTGTACTAGTTAATTTCCAAGTTTCAGACCATCATTTTAGGTTTTCAGTGTCTTAGCACATTTGATTCTAAAGGTAGATTGTCTGTGTATGCTTGTGTTTGTCTTGAGGGAGCCATAAATATATTTTGTTTTTACCTTGGCAGATGTGGGCACTGTCTCCAACTGTGTTTGCATTGCTGAGTAAGAATCTGATGATTGTGCATAGTGACTTGGCCGTTCACTTCCCTGCCATTCAGTATGCAGTGCTCTACACCTTGTATTCCCATTGTACCAGGTACTGTGCTCACAGATTCTCAGAAGAAAAAAGCCAGAAATGTTTGTTTCTGAGTTTGTTGTCTTCGTGTGATGACAGCTGAAAAGATGGTCTCCACTTTGTCTTTCAGGCATGATCACTTCATATCCAGTAGTCTTAGCTCTTCATCCCCTTCATTATTTGATGGTGCCGTGATTAGTACTGTAACTACAGCCACAAAAAAACATTTCTCAATTATATTAAATCTTTTGGGAATATTGCTAAAGAAAGATAATCTTAACCAGGACACAAGGTACCTAAGTAATTTTTTAAAAATAATACTAAGTTCCTAAATTTATTAATTCTTTGTGATTTGCGACTAAGAAATGTAGATTACAGCTTCATTGTGAAGCACTTGATTGGTTGTTACTTGATTTTTGTGTACCCTGTTGCTGGGCTCTACTTTGGGGAGATTTTCCCGTGGCACTCTGCTGCTTTTCAGAAACAGACTACCATGATACAGAAACAAATTTCTCTAGACTTAGCTTTTTACTTGTAGATTTATCTTACATTTAATTTTGTGGGTTTTTTTTTTTTTGTGTGTGTGTGTGTATCTGTGGAGTGCAGTGCTCTTGGAGCTTTGTGGTATGAGATTCTCCTGGCACTGGAGTAACAGATTGTTGTAAGCTGGCTGGTGTGGGTCCTGGAAACTGAACTTCAGTCCTCTGCAAGGGCAGTGTGCACTCAACCACTGTACAGTCTCTCCAGCTCCAGCCCCCCCCCCCTTTTTTTTTATTACTTGTATTGTTGGAAAAATCAAAAGAAAACTGATAGAAGAAAATGTTCTGTGGTTTTTGTTTTTTTGTTTTAATATAAAGCCAACTGTTTATTTTATGTTTCAGGAAATTATTAATGACATGGGCTTTGGAAGTGGCTGTATTAATGAAGAAGTCTGAAACATATGCACCTTTATTCTCCCTTCCATCTTTTCATAAATTTTCCAAAGGCCTTTTAGCCAACAGTAAGAGACTTAATGTTTTAATTTTGTTTACCCTTTAAAAGAGAATATTGGTTAATGGGAGAATGTAGTTACAGCATCCTACCATGAAGTGAGTTGAGTAGTCCCTATTTTAATGCCATATATAGTAGTCATGATTATTTTTCATTCTTACTGTTTGAAAAATAATTGAAGTATTTGTCAAGTTTTCAACCTTATGTTAGTTTATTCTATGAACTTGAAAGTTTTTTCTTAGAAGAAAGTTTATATGTAGAGTAGTTAACTTGAATTTTATTGAATATTAATTTCCTAGGTGTTTCTGCCAGTGAGGAGTCCAGGCATGAGTAGGGTGTAGTTCATGCTTCCTGTTTGATGAGTGAATTAGTGGGTGAGTGAATGAGTGAATAGATGAATGAATGAATGAATGGGTTCAGAACGTTATGATAGACTGACATACTTTGAGGGGTGCAAACTGAAAGTAACTTTCCTTTTTAATAATAGCTCTTGTTGAAGATGTGAATATCTGCTTGCAAGCGTGCAGCAGTCTCCATGCTCTGTCCTCTTCCTTGCCAGATGATTTGCTACAGAGGTATGGACCAGAGACTGATTCTTTGACTCTGGCTGTAATGGCATGGGAATGCTACCACACCTGCTTTATTTATTATTTTTCATAGGTGTGTTGATGTCTGCCGTGTTCAGCTTGTCCATAGTGGAACTCGTATTCGACAGGCCTTTGGAAAGCTGTTGAAGTCAATTCCTTTAGATGTTGTACTAAGGTATAACTTTTGGTGACTATATTTTTATTACTTTGTAATTGTCTACCATAGGAAAAGATTTAATCAACATGTTTAGTGCATTTTACATATTACATGGTACTTCTTAGTGATCAAAGAGATGTTAAAGGATGGTTTTGGAGACCTAGAAGAAAACATTTTTTAATGATCTTTATCATCTTTTAATAAATAGTGTAGAATAATTCATGTAGTACCCGGAATTCATTACTTTTTTTTTTTTTTTTTTTTTAAAGGCAGGGTTTCTCTGTGTAGCCTTGGCAGTTCTGGAACTCACTCTATAGACTAGGCTGGCCTCAAACTTAGAGGGTGTGGGAACTCAGAGAGTGTGTGCCACTGTCACCCAGTGGGTTAGGTTTTTTTTTTTTTAAGGGACTTAATTACTTTTGCTTTGCCTGTGTGTATGTCTCTGTACCATCACTCATATGCCTGGTGCCTGCTGAGGCAAGACAAAGGTATTGGATCCCCTGGATGTTGAGTTGCACATGGTTTTGAGCTGCCTTGTGGATTCTGGAAACTAAACCTTGGTCTTCTGCAGAGCAAGAAGTACAGCTATCTCTTCAACCCCAATAATTGAGATATTTAAAAGTTTTGGCTTTTGGTTAAGTTGATTTTGGAGCATTTGTTTGTTTTTGGGAAAGGGTTTCAGTTATCCTAAGCTAGCCTCCAGCTTTTTATGCAGCCAAGGAAAACCCTAAACTATCAATCCTCTTGCCTTCCTCTAAGGTGCTGGGATTACAGGTGCACATCACCAGGTTAAGTTTATTCTGTGAGGAGACCTCGGATTTTATATGTGCTGGGCAAGCATTCCACTGACTGAGCTACATCCCCAGTGCATAACCTTTCTCCTTTTCCTTTTTTTATTGTAACTTTTTTTTTTTTTTTTTTTTTTTTTTTGAGCAAGATTTTACTTTCTACTCCAGGATAGTCCCAAACTGGCCTTGAACTCAGGATCTTCCTGCCTCCCAAGTTCTGGGATTACGGGTATACACTAGCAGTCTTTTTTAAAAAAGGTTTTATTTGTACTTTGTGTGTGTGTCTGTCCCTTGTAGTTGAATTCCTGGAAGCTGAAATTAAGTGCATTGTGAGCCTCCTGTGTGGTACTGGGAACTGAACTCAGGTCCTATGGAAGACCATCAAGAGCATCGAGTACTCTTAACATTCAGCTCTCTCTCCAGCCCTCTGCACCAATTGGAGAACCTTTAAGATTCTAAAATTGTGAAATTATAACATCCCCCACCCCCGCTTTTTTTGTTATTGTTGTTTTGAGACAGGGTTTTCTTTGTAGCCCTGGTTGTTGTGGAACTCATTCTGTAAACCATGCTGACCTCCAACTCAGAGATCAGCCTGCCTCTGCCTCTTGAGTGCTGGGATTAAAGGCATTGGATACTACTGCTCAGCTCTTTTTTTTTTTTTTTTTTTTTTTTTTTTAAGATAGGTTCTAATTACATAAACTTAGGGATATCTAGAATTTGCTATCTAGACAAGGCTGGCCTTACACTCATGGATCTGCTTGCTTCTGCTTTCTTAATATTGGGATTAAAGACATGGACCACCACTCCTACCGTCCTCTGTCCATTTTTAAGCCTTAGTTTTTTGTTTTTTTTGTTTCCAGTGAAGTTACAGTACTCCATTTGTAGACTCTGTTAACCTTCCTCCTGAAACATCTTGCATGATGGTGACTTTTCTGTTAACAGCAATAACAATCACACAGAGATTCAGGAGATTTCTCTAGCATTGAGAAGCCACATGAGTAAAGCACCAAGTAACACCTTCCACCCTCAGGACTTTTCTGATGTCATCAGTTTCATTTTGTATGGGAACTCTCATCGAACAGGGTAAGAAAGACTGATTCTTTATTAGAGAACAGTACTTTTGGTTTGGTTTTGGTTGTTTTTTGAGACAGGGTTTCTCTGTGTAGCTTTGGAGCCTGTCCTGGAACTTGCTCTGTAGACCAGGCTGGCCTCCAACTCACAGAGGTCTGCCTACCTCTGGCTCCCGAGTGCTGGGATTAGGCTTGCGCCATCACCACCCGGCAGAGAACAGTACTTTTAAGACTCCCCTGATAATACACCCAGATTTGAGAAAACATTCATCCAAAGTGCCAGATTGGAAAGTAACAACATTCTTTGGTGGCTCATTTTGATTTTCATCAGCTTTAGATTCTGCTTTGAAGATAGTATTTGTAGAAACAAAAATGGGCTGTGTCTTCCACTGGTGAAATGTGATTGATAGTTGACTGATCTGATTGACATGAATGCTTTGGAGGAGGGTTGGAGATGATGATATTGTCGAGATGCTCAGTTGTAGTGAATGGAATGAAACCTGGCAGTCAAATTCTTATGAGCTGTGTACCCAGTAATTCATTTCTACCACACCCCAGCCTGTTCTTATGGTGCAGTGGTTTCTTTTGGTTAGAAAATTTGGTTCCTACTCCCATTCCTTTTGTACTTGTTTTGATTATTAAGATGAAGTTGTCATTGTCTGTTACATATGAAACTACTTTTCCCAGGAAGGACAATTGGTTAGAAAGATTGTTCTATAGCTGCCAGAGGCTGGATAAGCGTGACCAGTCTACAATTCCCCGCAATCTTCTAAAGACAGATGCTGTCCTTTGGCAGTGGGCTATTTGGGAAGCCGCGCAGTTCACTGTTCTTTCAAAGTTGCGAACCCCATTGGGCAGAGCTCAGGACACATTCCAGACAATTGAAGGTAACAGTTTGGCATTCTTTAAACTTTGTGATGCTGAAGAGTTTCTAGGCCTTTTAACTCCAGAAACCATGGTTTTCTTATAACTGATAGAGATTTCAGAGGTGTTTTTTTGTGTGTGTGTTTTCCCCTCTCCTCTCCCCCTCTGTACTGTTTAAGTAATTTCTAGATAGGACTTTTAGGATAAGGTTTTATTAAATAATTCCATTTGCAATGTTGGTGTCTGGTTTTGTTCAAAAGCTGAGGGGATTCATATGGACAAACATTTCCCCCTCAAAATGAGAGATATTTAATCTTTGATCTTTGTTTTATTTTAAATTGATGAGTATATAAACAGAATAATTGGTAAATTGATTTATTAAGAGTTGTCTTTGATTCATAGTGTTGCTGCCTTTGTTTTCAGGTATCATTAGAAGTCTTGCAGCCCACACACTAAACCCTGACCAGGATGTTAGTCAGTGGACCACTGCAGATAATGACGAAGGCCATGGAAGCAATCAACTTAGACTTGTTCTTCTGCTTCAGTATCTGGAGAACCTGGAGAAATTAATGTATAATGCCTATGAGGGATGTGCAAATGCGTTAACGTCACCTCCCAAGGTTGGTGTCCATGGAATATAGTGCTGCTTTGTAACAGATTCATTGTGAAACATGGTGGGATGTATAGGGCTGAGATGACAGTAACCATGTGTATTTAGTTTATATGTATTCAAGGCGTCTTCACCGTAATTTGAAGCAGTCCTGAGTTCTTTCCCTTTTTTCCTAAAGGTCATTAGGACTTTTTTCTATACCAATCGACAAACTTGCCAAGACTGGCTTACTCGGATCCGCCTCTCCATCATGAGGGTCGGATTGTTGGCAGGTCAGCCTGCTGTGACAGTGAGGCATGGCTTTGACTTACTGACTGAAATGAAAACAAATAGTCTATCTCAGGTAAGGTGGTCCATTGGGAATACATTTTAACTGTAGAAATTTGGGTTTGGTCTCTCTGATGGAATTCAATCTACAGATAAGTTTAGTTCTTTTTCAAGGCTTTTCATTCAATATCTTACAAAACTAATGACTTCTCCAGGCACTTTTCTACATCTAATGTCTTAAAAATATGAACTTTTTAAAGACTGGGACTTTAGGAATAATTGTAAGAAATTTGTCTGTGGAACACATTCTTAGAGTATTCGGGAAAGTTCTTAATTTAATTAGGTTTAAAATAAATAAATGGAATCCAAAGCAACAGAATTCTTACTCCTTAATAAATGTTTTGTGATGATTTTTAAGCTAAGCTAAGTACTGTGAGAATAATTGTTAATGTCTATAGATTGTGGCCAGTAGCTATAAGTTCGGTAGAGATTTGAATTTCAGTGGTATCGAGGTCTGTGACTAATCTTTCTGCCTGCTGTTTCCAGGGGAATGAATTGGAAGTAACTATCATGATGGTGGTAGAAGCTCTGTGTGAGCTCCATTGTCCTGAAGCTATACAGGGAATTGCTGTCTGGTCATCTTCAGCTGTTGGTAAAAACCTTCTCTGGATTAACTCAGTGGCCCAGCAGGCTGAAGGGAGGTAAGTTAGCAGGAAAGCAATGAATGATAAGATTTTTATGTTCAAATCCTTTGAATTGTATAATAGTGAAAATAGCCAGTCTATTTTGAGGCTCGAAGCCTGCTATAATCACTTCAGTAGGGTGCATCTTTCATGTGTTTTTTGATTAGCAGCCATACATGAGTGCCTCACTTAAATAGGAGGTATGAGAAATCATACTGGAAAACAAGTTCTTTCAGTTTCAGTTTCATAAGTGGTTTTAAATATGATTTTGATGGAAAATTTTCCACATTTGGCTCTGGTATATTACTGTATGCTGCTAGAGTGTTTGCTCACAACCCTGTCAATGCATGTGCATGCCTCATGTAAGTTTAAGTAGTTCTTAGGAATTTGGAGAGATAAATAGCCACTTAAATTTGGAAAGCTATATAACCTGGTGCCTGTAGGTTTTGGTGTGTCTAAAGCTTTATTTTCTTATCGTGGGTAGTTTCTTCCTCTGCTATAGAAACAATAGTCTATCTACAGAGCTTCGTGGCTTTTCTACTCACCAGTATTCTAAAAATATTTTGCCATGTTAAACATAATGCAGTCTGATTTTTAATGGACACCATTACTTCTTTCTGAGTGTATGATAATTTGACATACTTTACTGTTGGACATCAAAGTAGTTATCAGTAGTGTCCACTAGTTGTTTTATACTCAGACTGGTTGTGAGGCAGAGGTAGAATTTCCCCTTCCAAATAACTTACTCTTTGTCCAGGTACAAGTCAGGTAATTTATTCTCTCACCATTAATTTTTTTACAAAGAGATGCATTTGAGTAATTTTAAAAAATAAGACTTGCTTTAATTTGTATTTAAGGTTTGAAAAGGCCTCTGTGGAGTACCAGGAGCACCTTTGTGCCATGACAGGTGTTGATTGCTGTATCTCCAGCTTTGACAAGTCTGTTCTCACATTGGCCAATGCTGGACGTAACAGTGCCAGCCCCAAACACTCTCTAAATGGTGAGCATTCAGTGTTTACATTAAAAATGCTAAAGGTACAATTCGTTTGTTCAGATAAACTTACCATATGTTTCTAGGAGTCAGTGGTCTATGAAATATTTACAGTTGTTCTCAGTTTCTGTCTTCTTTCTTAATAAAATACCTTTCAGGTGAATCAAGGAAAACTGTGCTGTCCAAACCAACTGATTCTTCCCCTGAAGTTATCAATTACCTAGGAAATAAGGCGTGTGAGTGCTACATCTCTATTGCTGACTGGGCTGCTGTGCAGGAGTGGCAGAATGCGGTCCACGACCTGAAGAAGAACACCAGCAGCACTTCACTCAATCTGAAAGCTGATTTCAACTATATCAAGTAATGGCTGCATCTAGTCAGCAACCTCTGCCCTGTCAATAAGTAGTCTTCCTCTGTGGTGGCAAACACTAAAATTGGTCATATTTACAACAGGAAACCAGCAGTGGGGCAAGGAAGGAGTCTGCTGTGTGGGAAGATAGAATCATTATACATAAAGAGGCACTGCTGTAGAGAGGCTCACACAGGACAGCTGTGTATCTGAAGTACTGTTAAATATTTAAAGAAAGTTTGTTTTAATGGTGAGAGTTTGTGAACATCTATAAGTTATATTCTTCGCTCCTCTTTAATTATGCATCTCAAAATTGAGGATTTACTGCATTCCATACACATGACTGGGGGCAAAGATCATCAGAATTGGTTTACTGTCCTTGCCTTCCTGGTAACTGAACACATAATCTTTGGGAAGCATCGGGTATATTATAGCAGGAAAAAAAATATACTGCTTCTAACTCTTCAAAATACAGAGTGAAGACATAGGAGAAAAAGCCCTGACAACGGATTAAGTCGATTTGTCTTTTCGGTGCCTCAAGGAAGGCAGTTAAAGTTAGGCATAGACAGTTAAGGATAGCTGTAGTAGATGGTGTGAGAGCAGAAGAAATTAAAGTCTTACGTTTAAGGTGTTTTTTTTTTTTTTTTTTTTTTTTTTTTTTTTTTTTTTTTTTTTTTTTTTTTTTGTAGAGGGGGAGATGTTTAGTCAGCAGCCGAAAGTATAAAACTGTAGAATACAGTATGGATGTGGGGAGCCTGCTACCAGAAAAATCTAGGGTCTTGTAGTGGGATACATAATACATATTAGACATGAACAGTTCATCAGCAACCAGTGCTTAACTCTTACCTGAGAAACAACTGGTTATACTGTTGTAGTTGGAGCAGAAATGGGGTAAGCCAGCTAACGAACATTTCCATTGCTGCTTTCAGACATAGTGAGAAGAGAAGGGACTCAGTGAAAGGATCAGAACTAGTGGTGGTAGTGTAGGCACTAATGCCAGCCCTAGAAAAGTGGAGACAGGAGGATGTTCATCTAATTACAGAAGTGAGTTCCAAACCAGCTTGTGTGAAACAAGAAAAGAGTGTCTTTAGTAGAGATGGGGCAGAGGAGAGGTATGGAGCTAGTATGAGTGAGGCCTCTCATCTTGGCATTGGAATGCCAAGGTCATGGAAAATGGCTGCAGATAAGGAAGTAGTTGGAATTCTTTTAGGGAAGGTAAATGAGTTTTATAGGAAACAAAGGGTTGGGAGATGTCTCAGTGAAAGAGTCAGGGCTAAGGTATAAAACTGAGATGAGGGCTGAAGAGATGGCTCAGAGGTTAAGAGCACTGGCTGCTCTTCCAGAGGTCCTGAGTTCAATTCCCAGCACCCACATGGTGGCTCACAACCATCTGTAATGAGACCTAGTGCTTTCTTCTGTATACATAATAAATAAATCTTTAAAAAAAAAAAAAAAACTGAGATGATAGGAGACTTAGAGGAAAGTGTACAGGCTTTTTGTGGAGCGAGAGGCCAGCTGGTGGGATTCAGTGGCTTGGGAGAGAGCAAGTGTTGAAAACATTGTAGACTCTACTGCCCATATTAACAGGCCCATAGAAAGAGGAAGGAGGCACAGGTGAGCAGGCTCAACTGATGGTCATGTCTAGTACTTTCCTGATGCCACTCCAGCTGTAGTGTCACTGAGATGGGAGCCACATCAAGATGAAATGGTACTTTGCCTCTAAAAACCATTTCTTTGGACAGCTGTTCCCTTCTAGTGCTTGTTCTTCCCATATCCCCAAGGTTACACAGGGCTGGTGAGGCCTAACACAAGCTGATGGGCATTTTAATTACAGGTCACTAAGCAGCTTCGAGTCTGGAGAGTTTGTTGAATGCACTGAGCAATTGGAATTGTTACCAGGAGAAAATATTAATCTGCTTGCTGGAGGTTCAAAAGAAAAAATAGGTATTTGAGAACAGTTTTAATTTTTTTCATGACATGTTTCTTAAACCTTTGGATAGTTTTTATTTACTAGGAAATCTGTAAGTTTCTGTATATTTATTTGGAATCCTACACTATGTGAAGCACATTTAGTTAGGGCTGTACTATTAATAGTTGATGAAGCAAATGAAAAACGGCTCAGTTAGAATCAAACTGGGTGGTGGGTGGCGTATGCCTTTAATTTCAGCACTCTGGAGGGAGAGGCTAGGTGGATCTCTGAGTTCTTGCTGTTTGTTACCCAGAGAAATCCTATCTCAAAACAAATAAAACAACAGCAGCAACAACAACAAAAACAACTAAACTGGGAAAAGGTGACATTGATGTAGACATTTAGTAAAAAAGCACAAAGCAGTGTTTGGGCTACACAGTTTCCTTAATTTCCATCTTAATGAACACACTGTATACTGCTGTTTTGGCATTCAGAGGTCTGCTGTGCAGATTGAGGTTTGCCTCGTGGAGAGTAGGATGCGTTATGTAAGCTCTCAAGTACTTCTGCGGAGAGCTGTAAAAACCAACCAGGTTCCTTTTTGATGTGTGTATGACTAAAAAGGCATTCACTGTTGGCTTTTGTAAGTCAAGATGTGCAGTATTATTTTTATGTAATTGACCTTTTCATTTATATTTTAGAAAAACTGAAATTTTTAAAATGATAGGCGAGTCATTTATTTTAAAACTAATTTTCTTTTCTGAAACTTTGATTTTGTTTTTTGTGTTTTTGGAACTCAGTATGTAGACTTGACCTGAATTCATGAGATCCTCCTACTTCGACCTTCTGGGTTCTGGGGTTAAAGACAGGTTCCACCATACTTGGCGGTTTAGTTTTTTATATAAGGTGTTAAATTAGTGGCTTAGCCTGTTGAAGTGTACTTATATCTGAACTTAATTTCAAGTCTATAATATATTTGACTCGTCTTAAAATTGCTTTTTTTTTCTGTTATAAATGAATTAGGCTACTTAGTTAAATAATTATCAATAAGCTTGGGATTGAGGAGCTAGCTCAGTCACTAAAATGCTTACCACACAAACATGAGGAGCTGAGTTCAATCCATAGCATCTGTGTCAAAAAGCCATGTATGGTAGTATATGCTTGTAATCCCAGTGCTAGAGCAGTAGAGTAGACTGGCCATTGAGAAACTGTCTGAAAAAAAAAAAGATGGGTGGTAATACAGAAACAATACTGGAGGTTGACCTCTGGAAATGTGAGCTTAAATTTCATAAACTAAAGTGGAGGAAAACCTCACTGAAATGGTTACATCCTTTATAGAGTCAAGTTTTGAATGTAAAAAGAAGGGGAAAGTAGGTTTCTTACCAATATGTGCAGGTGATTCTTAGAGGCATGAAGTATAATTTTATGTTAAGTAATGCTGTTTGCATAGCTCTCTGAAATGTCTAGCTACCTGAACTTAATGAAAGGAAGGATGTATTTGTTGGTGATTATTACTTTTTTTAAGTATTGCCAAAATATGTTAATACTTTCGTACATTAAGAACAAATTAACTTAACACAATGTATCTGACTTGTTTAGATATGAAAAAGCTGCTTCCTAATATGCTTAGCCCAGACCCACGGGAACTTCAAAAATCCATTGAAGTCCAGCTGTTGAGAAGTTCGGTCTTTTTGGCAACTGCCTTAAACCACGTGGAACAAGATCAGAAATGGCAGTCCTTAACTGAGTGAGTCATAAGTGTACATAGGCAGGCAGCTGCATGGGGTACTAAGATTGAAACTGCAGGTTTGTAGAAACCTCTAAAAGCAAATGTCTTGTTTTGCTCATAGTCTACTATAGAGCAGGCTGCTTTCCTTACTGTCACCCCTGATTTTTTGATGCCAAATGGTAGTGCCTTAGCCACTTTATATTAGTGGCTGCAAGCTTAAGGATCTTGTTAATTAATTTCTTTCAGAAACGTGGTAAAGTACTTGAAGCAAACCTCACGCATTGCTATTGGACCACTAAGACTGTCTACGTTAACAGTGTCACAATCGTTACCAGTACTGAGTACCCTGCAGTTGTACTGCTCATCTGCTCTCGAGAACACAGTTTCTAATAGACTGTCCACCGAGGTGTGTAGGGGTGTGTGTGTGTGTGTGTGTGTGTGTGTGTGTTTTACTTTTCTTTAAAATTTCTTTTTATTTTAGTATATGTGTATGGGTGTTTTGCCTGTATGTGTCTGTGCACCACTTACATGTCTGGTGCCCTTAGAAACCAGAAGAAGGCATTAGATCCCCTAGGACTGGAGTTATAGACAATGTGGGTACTGGAAATTGAACCTGGGTCCTTTGAAAGAGCAACAAATGCTCTTAACCACTGAGCTCTCTCTCCAGTCCTGAAGTGTATTTTTTGTAAGCATTCTCTACATCAAGCATTAATTCATTAGTATAAATCAAAGACCTCATTTTCTCAGTTTTTATAGTAGAATTTGTAATTGGGTAAGCTGAACTCAAATCTAAAATGTATTTCTAGACAGATTTTCATTTGAGATAGTATAGGGCAAATGGAAGAACCTAAGGTTTTGACTAATTGCTGGATCTTGGTTTTTCTTTTTTGTGAAGTTTGGATTTCACTCATACCTTTCCTCTCTCTCAATAGAGTAAACTTCAACTGAAAAGAGGACCCTTGCAAAGGACTTGCAATCCTTAAGAATTATAGGATCGATAGTTTAATGCTCTTCTGCAATTTTGGTTTATAGTAAATATACGTTTTTACAGATGTACTTTATTAGTAAATATACTGACAAATTGTACTTAATGTTCTGAATTTATTAACAAAGCAAAGGTTTTCTGTTTGGGTGTGTCTTAGTTTCTTTTTTATTGCTCTAATGACATACTGTGACCAAGAGAACTTATTAAAGAAAGTGTTGATTTGGGGCTTATGCTTTCAAAGGATTAGAGTTCAGGATGGCAGGCCAAAGGCATGGCAGCTGAGACTTTGTTTTGATCTCCCAAGTTGGAGGCAGAGAGAGCAAAAGACACTGAATGTCTTTTCAAACCGTAAAACCTGCACACATTGATTGACTCTCCTCCTTCAACAAGACCACATCTCCTAATCCTTCCCAAACAGTTCTACCAGTTAGAGAGGGACCAATTATTCAAATACATGAGCCTTTGGGTACCATTTTTACCTACACCAGCACAGACTGGAAGAGACATGGTGGAAGGTTGTACGGAAGTTGGAATAGCTCTAAAGGCTGTTGTCTATTTTGATAGACGGTTTAATACAAGTCTTTGTCTCTCTGCTGCCAGGACTGTCTTATCCCACTCTTCAGTGACGCCCTTCGCTCATGTAAACAACATGATGTGCGGCCGTGGATGCAAGCATTGAGATACACCATGTACCAGAATCAGCTGTTAGAGAAAATTAAAGGTAATGATCTCCCTCTCTCTGATTCTTTACATAAATGTGGCTACCCTAGAACTTACTGTGTAGACCAGGCTGGCCTTGAACTCACAGAGATCCACCTACCTCTTCCTCTGAAGTGCTGAGATTAAAAGCATGTGCTACCTCTTGGCCTCATTTCCCTTTTCTTAAAGTTAGCTTTACTGAAATGTAAATTATACATTTAACTATACAGTTTGGTTTGTTTTCTCCCATCTACCTCTATGTACCTACCAGTACAGAGAGGATTCAGAACATTTCTCTCAGCCTAGAAAGGTTAACATTGTTCCTGTCTCAGGCAGATGATAATTTGCTTCCTATCCCTGTAAATTAGACTTATGTTTGCTGATGTTTTCACATAAATGGAATTATGCTGCAGCTTACATGATATTTTTAAGGTTCTCCCATGTTAATTTGTCAGTAAAATGGTCCTTTCTTTATTGTTTAGTAATATTCCACTGTATGATGTGCCACCACTGGTTTATTTCTCCATTTGTTGGTGGGGGTTTCTTCTCGGTCATTTTAATCAGGTAGCTAAATATGAAGCAGCTATGGACATTTGTATTACTTATTTTTCTTGTTGCTTCAACGTAATATCTGACAACTTTGGCTTATAGTTGAGGTACAGTCCATCATGGTAAGGGAGATCATGGTGGCAGGAGTATGAGGTAGCTGGTCACATCTGCAGTCAGGAAGCAGAGAAAGTTTAATGCTGGTGCTTAGCTTCTTTTCTCCTTTTAACTCAGTCTGGGACTACAGCCCATAGAACAGTGCCCATACTATTTTTGGTTTAAGTCTTCCAATCTCAAAAGTTAAACTTTTCTGGAAACACCCTCACTGATGCACTCAGAGGTCTGTTCCTGTGGCGATTCCAAATCCTGTCAAATTGACAGGATGAACTGTCACTGCATTCATATTCAACACTTAGAGTTAAATCTGAGGACTGTGTTTCTCTTGAATTAAAGCTTATGAGTGAGATTGTTGGGTTGTTGTGTTCAACTTTGTAAATAGGTCAGTGTTTCTTAGAAAGTGATTGTACTTTTATATTCCTTTAGTATTTTATGGGAGTTCTGGTTCTTTTTTAATCACTGGAGTGGGTGTAACTTTAGCTCATAGTTTTAGTTTTTATTCCCCTAGTGATTAGTGCATTTCCTCATCATTCCATTGCATAGAAGCTGTTGTGTATTTTTTGTTTCAGATGTCTCCTAACACCTTTTGCCTGCTTTTCTTTTCTTTTTTATTGGGGGCGGGGGTGGGCAGAGTCTCTGTAGCCTCAGCACTTGCAATAGAGACCAGGCTGGCCTTGAAGTCACAGATACCTACCTAACTAACTGCTTTTGCCCACTTTTAATGACGTTATAAGACTTGTTTGTATGTTCTGTTTACTTTGGCAGATAGAGTGTACTACAAATGTTAAAGACTTTAAATGCCCCAAATGAATGGCTAGAGAATTATGATATATGCAAATTCTCTCTCTCTCTCTCTCTCTCTCTCTCTCTCTCTCTCTCTCTCTCTCTCTCTTTTAGGAAAAAAATGTCTGTTGTGTTAAGGGGATTTTTATTGCTGTAGAATAGTATCTTGCCTGAATTCTATAGTTTATTTGAATATGTGGTGACTAAGGTTAGTGAATAAATTTAACATGTTAAATGTCAAGTAAGCCCAATTCCAAGATAAGCCTTGTACTACCAGGCAGTTTACTTGTGTGTGATCACTTCAGTTGTAGGATTGGATTGTGGATTAGAGGAGGCTAAGAAGGAGGCAAAGGAACCAGCTTCCCACTGCTAAGCAAGGTACTTAGGGATGGCAATAAGAAGGGGAAAAAGCAGACTATTTGAAGTTGAAGGTAATAGTGTAATTGCCAAGTACCTGCTGAGGTGGTGGGCCTTTCTTGAGAAGGAGTAAACAGGAGAAGGGAGCAGATTTAAAGAGTGATAGGGAATTCCACTTAACATATCCTAGGAGTGTAGGTTTTTAATAGACAGGTAGGACTCAGCTCTCTGGTCTGAGCTACAAGTTTAGGATTTATCAGCATTGGTATGGCTTTCGAGCCGTAGGATGGATGCCTTGTCCAGGGGACAGTGGAAGAGAACTCGCTAGAGAAGGGTGCCTTTTTTGGCCTTTATTCTCTTTTCCTACTATTTGACCTAGGTTCCTTTCTTCTTTTTCTTTTTTATGTACTAGGTTCACCATTATTAAAAGATTTTTGTTTTTTACATGACAAGCATTTAGCCCAGTGATCTATCTTCCCAGCTCCTGAATTTTTTATTATTATTGTTACTGTTACTATGACAAGGTCTAACTCTCTTAGCTGATCTGAAACTCACCAAGTCAACCAGACTGGCCTCTACCTCCTAAGTGTTGAGATTAATTTTCTTTTATGCATATGAGTTTGCTTGCATTTGTGTACCACATGTGTGCCTAGAGGACAGAACAGGGTGCTATATCCCCTTTAACTGGGGTTGTAGGAAGCTGTAAACCATCATGTGGGTGCTGGAAATGGAACCCTCGTCCACAAGAGTAATAGCAAGTGCTCTAAACTGATAAGTTGTCTCTCCAGCCTCTGACCTCAGACCTTTTCTAACAGTTCAGATGTTACAAGGTTAATTTCTTCTAGAGAACGATTTTCATTTTGCTCTACTTGGTTGTGTCCCTTCACTTAAATGTTGTTATAAGTCACACACTGTGCTAGTTGTTGGGGTTTGAGGGTTTGCAGAGGTGGTGAGTAATAGAGTCTGCAGTTAGGTGAGTTGAGAATTAATGAAACGTTTTCTTCTTTCCAGAACAAACAGTACCAATTAGAAGTCATCTCATGGAATTAGGTCTGACAGCAGCAAAATTTGCTAGAAAACGAGGGAATGTGTCACTGGCAACAAGACTGCTGGCACAGTGCAGCGAGGTTCAGCTGGGAAAGACAACCACTGCCCAGGACTTAGTGCAGCATTTTAAAAAACTGTCCACTCAAGGTCAAGTGGATGAAAAATGGGGGCCTGAGCTCGATATTGAAAAAACCAAGCTTTTATACACAGCAGGTTAGTAAAAGCATGTGAGGAAAACTGTATGCATGTTTCTGTGTGTGGTGTAAGAAGCATTTGTAAATATAAGAAGTGAGTGTAAGAATTATTTCCAGCTTTTGTAGATCAGTGTCCTTCAGTAAGACATGTTTTCCAAGATTGTTGCTTATCCCTGAATTCATTTTTTCTTCCTTTTTGAGGGTGTTGTGTGCCTGCTTATTTGTATGTGTGGGCGCACACATGTGAGTGTAGGTTCTTGTGTGTATGCATGTCTGTTTGTAGGCCAGAGGTTGATAGTGGGTGTCAATTGATATTCATCTCATATACTGAGACAGGGTTTTTCACTTGAACCCAGAGCTCACTTGGTTAGGCTAGTCTTACTAGGCAGCTTGTCCTTTGTATCCCCTCTAAGAGTGCTGGAATTAGAGACATTCCATCATGCCCATCCAGCATTTATGTGGATTCTGGGGATTGAAACTATAGTCCTTAATGCGTACATGATACCCATTTAGCCCAGTGATCTGTCTTCGCAGCTCCTGAATTATTTATTATTATTATTATTATTATTATTATTATTGTTGTTGTTGTTGTTGTTACTGTTACTCTGACAAGGTCTAAAACTTCCTTAGTTGATCTAAAACTAAGTCAACCAGACTGGCCTCTACCTCCTAAGTGTTGAGATTAAAGGCAAGTGTTGCCATGCCTGGCTGACTTTATGGTATTTTATTTATTTTACCTTAATTTTTGTTATTTTAATGTATGAGTGCCTATATGTACATATGTACACCACAGAATGGGGTATTGGATCCCCTAGAACTAGAGCTGCAGGAGGATGTAAGCTGCCTGCTCTGATTGCTAAGAACTGAACCTGGGTTTCTTCAAAAGCAGCAAGTGTTCTTAACCTGTAAGCCCATCTCTCTAGACCCTGAATTAATGCTTCTAAAAACAAGAATGAATGAATCAATCAAGGAATGCTTTCATGCCTCTTCTTGAAATAATTTATATTACTATTAAGGGTAAATTAATGGTTTTGTATGTTTTTGTTCGTTTGTTCGTTTGTTTGTTTGTTTGTTTTCTATAGGTCAGTCAACACATGCAATGGAAATGTTGAGTTCTTGTGCCATATCTTTTTGCAAGTCTGCGAAAGCTGAGTATGCTGTAGCTAAGTCAATTCTGACTCTGGCTAAGTGGGTCCAGGCAGAATGGAAAGAGATTTCAGGACAGCTGAGACAGGTATACAGAGCTCAGCAGCAGCAGAACCTCCCAGGCCTTTCTACTTTGTCTAGGAATATACTTGCTCTAATAGAGCTGCCATCTGCTAATACGGTGGGAGAAGAACACCCTCGGATTGAGAGTGAATCTACAGGTACAATTTTATTCTTTCGTTAGCTTTGAAAATACTAATTTTGTAAGTGTAAAATCAGTGTTATGCTAGCTGTAATTTGCCACAAAAATCCAACTACAAAAATATAATACATTGGCAGTAACTAGTACTCACTGTCATGTATCCAGTTCTTCATATGTAAGTTCCTTTTTTGACTTAGAGGAGGGTATTTTTGCCTTGATTCATGAAAGAATAAATGTCAGGAGCAGCAGATATGTAGCCATATCTTGTATTACCTTTGGTTGTTGGAGCACAGAAAGATTCAAGTTTCTGACTGTGTCTGACACTAGCAAAGTTAGTTAGCCAAAAAATAGATGGTTGATTAATCTAAACAAGATTTATTATTTTTATTTTTCTTTCTTTCCTTGTTCTTTTTTGAGGAGGTGAGGGTGCTGGGCATGCTAGGCAGGTGTTACACTACTGAGCTACATCTCCACTTTTCTTTTTCTTTTTCTTTTTCTTTTTCTTTTCTTCCCTCCCTCGCTTCCTTCTCTCTCTTTCCTTCCCCGCCCCCTCTTTCTTTCTTTCTTTCTTTCTTTCTTTCTTTCTTTCTTTCTTTCTTTCTTTCTTTCTTTCTTTCTTTCTTTCTTTCTTTCTTTCTCTCTCTTGTTCGTTCGTTCATTCATTCATTCATTCATTCATTCATTCATTCATAGTCTGGCATGCATGCATGCATGCATTCATTCATTCATTCATTCATTGAGTCTGGCTGGCCTGGAACTTGCTGTGTAAGTTCCAGGCTGGTCTCAACCTCACAGAGATCTTGTCTTTGCCCAACTTCTGAGATTAAAGGAATATGTCACCACACCACCTGTTTTCTTTTTTGAGATAGTATCTTCATTTCTATAGAACCTAACTGGCCTCACACTCAAAACTTTCCTTTTTTAGTGTTTTAAATGCTGAGTTATAGGTGTGTGGCACCGTGTCTACTTGGGTGTGTGTGTGTATATACGTACGTGTGTTTTGCTGGGTATAGACTCCTTGTCTAATGCATGCTATCCACTTGGGGTGTGTGTGTTTTGCTGAGTATAGATTCTATATGCATGCTATCCAAACATTTTCTTTTACTGACCTACATCCTAATCAGTTCTGGAGAAAACTAATCTCTTACCTGATAAGGGGAGAATATACCTCCATTTTGTTATCCAGAAGCTTGGAGTTTAAATTACTTAAATTGTATTTTGTTTGTTTGTTCGTTTGTTTTTTTTTTTTTTTTTTTTTTGTTCGTTTGTTTATACTAGTTTTTTAAAAAAATAATTCTAGTGTATCTGTTAACCAGGTCTTTGATATTCATAAGGGGTAGGTCTTAAAACCATGGCATATGAACTCACTAAACAGGCAGTTTTCTCTCTATAAAATGAAAGTGAAGATTTCTGTCTGCCCTGTTGGTCTTTGGTGTGGTGTGCTTATCACCTATGCATTGTTTTTACCAAATGCTTAGAATTATTCTAAAACAAGATGTAAGACATTCTACAGCACGTCTGACACCTAAGCTATTGCTAAAGATAGTGTTCTTAAAGGCATGGGTTTCTCTGCAGATGCTAACATAAGCTGGTGCCTTTTAATATAGTCATGTTGCACAAAAGTATCCAAATTTGGGCCATAACAAAGTATGTACTGCGATAGTATTGGGCTTATTGCTTGCTTAAATAATAAAGACTTAACAGGTCAATGAGAACATTGCTAAAAGTTATGCAAGTTATGTTATAACACTGAGAGCTCTTGTTATTTTTTCTCTCATGGCAGTACACATTGGAGTTGGAGAACCTGACTTCATTTTGGGACAGTTGTATCACCTGTCTTCAGTGCAGGCACCAGAAGTAGCCAAATCTTGGGCAGCATTGGCTAGTTGGGCTTATAGGTGGGGCAGAAAGGTGGTTGACAATGCCAGGTATGTATGTTTCAATGTGCGGTTGATATAACACACTGCAAAATAGAGATATAAAATGCTAATTTGGGAGAGTTTTGGTACCTGAAATACTTGATGACTTGTTTATTTTTATAGTCAGGGAGAAGGTGTTCGTCTGTTGCCTAGAGAAAAATCTGAAGTTCAAAATCTGCTTCCAGATACTATAACTGAAGAAGAGAAAGAGAGAATATATGGTATTCTTGGACAAGCAGTATGTCGGCCAGCAGGAATTCAGGCAAGGAAAACATGATACAGTGGTTTTGGGGGGAGTAGTGCCAAGATTCCTGTTGCAACTCAATAATTTTTTGAGGAAATTGACTGCTTCCCCACCCCCAAGACAGGGTCCTGGCTGTCCTGGACCTCACTCTGTAGACCAAGGTGGCCTCAAACTCAGAGATCTGCCTGTCTCTGCTAGGATCAAAGGTGTGGGCCACCACTGCTGAGTTTGGTAATTGACTACTTTATTAAATAGTGAATGAGGTTTAGGCTGAGTTGCAAATAAAAATCTCTCGGTTTTAAGATGATATATAGTTGTCTTTTTTCCTAAGATCGTAATTTCTTGAAATCAAGTGATTTCTTTATGGTTTTGATGAAATTAGGTGAAGTTCGTTTTGTGTAAATTAACTTTCTCTTAATTACTCTTCTGATCTGAAGTTAGGTTCTTGGGCTGGTGGTGTAGTCAGGGAAAAAGCACATTCTTAGTGTATGTGAATGAGACTGTGTGTTTAATCCCCAGAGCTCAGAAAATGTAAATCTCTTTACAAGATTACCTGGGAACTTTTAAAGTATGGCATTGTATGGGAGGTACCCCCCACCCCAGGTTCTTCTGCGTGGGCTCTATGCATGTGTGTTTAACATCAATTAAATGACTTGGAGGTATGGGAGTTGGATGAAACTAGGGCTTTACATGTGCTAGTGGGCAAGAATTCCAATATTCTCTAACATGGGAAGCAGTGGACTAGGTGAGCTGCACAGTGTTCCCCGCTCCTCAAAGTGTCCTGTAAGTTGTGTAGTTCTATAGCTGTCGAATATGTAGATGCAGTATTCAAGGGTGTGGGTTTTATTTGCAAGGCTAAATTTGGCTGACTGAGTTCTGTTCTAGAAATGTACCCATGAATGTCTGTTAAAGCTATTGTGAGATAGATTTACAATATCGTAAATAGTGAAGTGTTTGTTCATGTTCTGTTCTGTTTTTTCACATCTTTTGAATAGATCATTTTTTCTACAGGCAGAATATTATATTGTAGTTTAGAATCATTTAAAATACAGAAAACACAGAAGTCTTTAATCTTTGCCTAAATACTTATAATCTTATTGGCTGCATTAGTAAGCATATCATAAAAAGACATTTACTTATGGATTTAGTGTATCATACATGAGAAAAATGTTTCCGTGTGGTAACCAATTGTGTATCTTTCTTCCTTTTCACCTGAAGTATTCTATGTCCACATTTTCTTTAGGATGAAGATATAACACTTCAGATAACAGAAAGTGAAGATAACGAGGAAGATGACATGGTTGATGTTATCTGGCGGCAGTTAATATCAAGCTGCCCATGGCTTTCTGAACTTGATGAAAATGCAACCGAAGGGGTTATTAAAGTGTGGAGGAAAGTTGTAGATAGAATCTTCAGCCTGTACAAACTATCTTGCAGCGCATATTTTACTTTCCTTAAGCTTAACGCTGGGCAAGTAGGTGGCACAGTCTTCTAAGGAAAATTATTTGAAATTTCTTTCCTTCAGACAAAAAGAGTACTAACAGAAATGGTTTTCTCATTCCCTTAATTGCTCACTTAGATTCTGTTAGATGAAGATGATCCCAGGCTCCATTTAAGTCACAGAGCAGAGCAGAGCACTGATGATGTGATTGTGATGGCTACCCTGCGACTGCTCAGATTGCTGGTGAAGCATGCTGGTGAGCTCCGGCAATATCTGGAACATGGCTTGGAGACAACTCCTACGGCTCCATGGAGAGGTAATAGCCTAAATAAAATGCCCTCCTTAGTTAATCCGTTTCTGAGTGAGATTGAAATAGTTTCTCCGTGTTCTTTATTTGAAAATGTTAGAGAACAGCCATGCTAGTTCATAGGATAGCCTGGACTGTTTGATGTCTCATGAAAATCTCTCTTGAGAGAGGAGAGGTTAGAAGGCAGAAGCTTTTCATTATCAAAATTCAGTTTTGGAGAGGGTGGTGAAATTAAGTGTAGAGGATTTAGTATAACATTTATCACAGTTACTTAGTCTGCCTTCTTTGAGGCATATGCTGAGCATATCATTCAATGTTTTAATTGCTCTGGGCCTCGATTACAGATTTGCAATTAAGAATGATTTCTTAGGGTTCTTTGTTAACACAGGGAGAACTTTGGCATCCTTAAGATCTGTGCTGATGTTGACATACATCAGATTTTATCCTTTTGCATTCCCCAAATTCATAGGTTTTTAACCACTTTGTCTTCTTCTCCTGAAGGAATTATTCCACAGCTTTTCTCACGATTAAACCACCCTGAAGTGTATGTGCGCCAGAGTATTTGTAACCTCCTTTGCCGTGTGGCCCAAGATTCCCCACACCTCATACTGTATCCTGCAATAGTAGGAACCATATCACTTAGCAGTGAATCCCAGGCTTCAGGTATGCAACATTAAAATACATTCACTTATTTAAGACAGAGTCTTACTGACTGTTTCACCCTCAGTAGCCTGGCACTCACTATGTAGAACAGGCTGGCGTTACATTCACAGAGTGCTGGGGTTAAAGACATACACTCCCTTGCCCAGCTAAAATACTGCTGCTTTATTTTACTGGTAAATTTTAAGTCTTTTTGTGGGTGATATGTTCTCAAGTTGAGGGTGTGTAATTTCTTATCAGTAATGGTTCTGACTTATTGAAGAAGTAATTACTGTATATCTATAATATGTGTTTTGCATCTTATTGTTACTCCTTACAATATACCAGGAAGTTAGTATAGTGCTGTTTAAGGTAAACATTAGACTTTGTTCTACACTTTCTGGGGAGGGCTTCTTGTTTGCTAACCATCTTCCTCTAGCTTTCCTCCATTAGTTTACAGTATTTATAAACATATGTGAAAAGCTCAGTTTGTAAAAGTGCAGAACACCATAATCTTTAGCTTCATGCACAGCACTGTGAAGTACATTACCTTTGTTTTCCATACCCAGTGTGTGCATGTATCCCTGTTGCATCCCACTGTAGGAAATAAGTTTTCCTCTGCAATCCCTACTTTACTTGGAAATATTCAAGGAGAAGAACTACTGGTTTCTGAATGTGAAGGAGGAAGTCCTCCTGCTTCTCAGGAAAGCAACAAAGATGAACCTAAAAGTGGCTTAAATGAAGACCAGGCCATGATGCAGGATTGCTACAGCAAAATTGTAGATAAACTGTCCTCTGCCAACCCAACGATGGTTTTACAGGTACAAGAAAACTAACTTGTTTGTTTTAAGGTAGTATTCATTACAACCCCCTCCCCAAATCCTAAAGCTAATATCTTAGGGAAATCATATCAGAACTTTTAAGATTAATCAGAATTGGTCTTACTAATCTATATTGATGTGCTGCTGATGAATTTTCTGTGAAATGACCATTACCCGTGTCTGATCTGATACTGCTTTGTGACTGATGCTACCTTGTGAGCCATGTGGATGTGTTGTGTCTGCAGGTCCAGATGCTTGTGGCAGAGCTACGTAGGGTCACTGTGCTCTGGGATGAGCTTTGGCTGGGAGTCTTGTTACAGCAGCACATGTACGTCCTGAGACGAATTCAGCAGTTGGAGGATGAGGTGAAGAGAGTCCAGAACAACAACACCTTGCGCAAGTATGTCTTCACTCCTTCACTGGGAAGATGGGGCTGCTTCTTGTCTTTTAGATTCACTCTTATGTGTGTGTGAGTATTTGCCTGCAGATATGTATATGTACCATGTGTGTGCCTGGTGCCCACCCAAGTCAGGAGAGAGCATTGGATCCCCTGGAACTGGAGTTAAGGATGGTTGTGAGCTGCCATGTGGGTGCTGGGAACTGAATCTGGATTCTCTGTAAGAGCAGCCAGTGCTCTTAACTGCTAAACATTTTTCCATTGCTCTCCCTACTTTTTTCTTTATAATGTGTTAATCAGTATAACAAAATTTATATTCTTAACCATTTTTAACTGTACAATTGAGTGGCATTAAAGTATGCTTTCACAGTACTGTGCCTTCATCACCACTACCCTCTGCTAGAATCATTCCCAATCCCAGAAGGTTATAGGCTCTGTACTCAGTAATAAACTCCATTTTCCCCATCTTGCCCCCTCATTACCTCTAGTTCTTATTTCTTGCTTTATGAAATATCCTGCTTTAGATGTCTCATGGGTGGAATCAGAGTATTTGTCCTTTTTTAACTTTGATTTAGCACCGTGTTTTCAAGGTTTACCTTCCTACAGCATGGATCTGTTACATGGTCACTGAATAATACTGCATTGTATGGGTGCTCCAGATTAGAACATTTTTATCATTTATGTATGTTTGCCAGAGGACAATTTATGGGAGTTGGGTTTTTCCTTTTACCAAGTGGGTCTTGGAGATCAAAGTTTGAGTTTTCAGGTTTAGCAGGAAATACCCTTATTGGTTGAGCCATTGTGTTAGCCCTGTGAACCAGGTTTTACTGTTTGATTCATCTGTTAGAAGAGACTTGGGTTTGTTTTTAGCTCTGTGAACAAAGCTGCTGTGAACATTGGTGTGCAGTATCTGGCTGAGTCCTTGCTTTGGATCATTTTGTATGCAATGCCATGGATTTGCTGACCAGTGTGATTGATTATCTTGTTAAGCCTAGGAGTCTTTCCCACAATGATTGTGCCATTTTATGTTCCAACTTTCATTGCATGAGGACTCTGGTTTTCACCTATCCTTGCCAACATTTAATTGTATGTGTGTATATATGATGCATGGTGTGTGTCCGCATGCATGCCATGGCTTTTCTGTAGAGGTCACAGGACAACTGTGGGTGTTAGGCCTCCTTTTAACCTTATTTGAGGCAGAATCTCTACTTTTTTCCTCCCTGCTGAGGCTCCTTGACCTGTGAGCTTCTGGGGATTCTTCTTTTTCATCCTTACATCTCCCTGTCAGGTATTGTGACTACAGTGCACCCACCACTTCATCAACTCTTCCATGACTTCTGAGCATTTTAATTCAGCTCCTTATGCTTAAGGGGCAGATATTTATCTACTGAGCCATTGACTCAGAGAACACTTGGCAGTTTCCTGGGAGTTTTGTTCATGATCCTCATGGATATTAAGCTGTATCTCATTGTAATTTATGATTTCCTTAATGACTAATAACGTGTAGCTTCTTTTTGTGTCTTAATTGATGAGTATGTGTCTTTGCAAAATGTTGAATTGTTTTATTGTTGAAATGGAGGATTTTTTAGAAAAACATTCTGGGAATTCCTTGGTAGATAGAAGATTTGCAAACATTTGTCATCACTTTGAATTGTCAGTTTAGTCTATATGGTGCCATATTGAAAGAATCACTGTTAAATCTAGGGTAAGAAGCCCTTCCCCTTATGCTTTGTATCAGGAGTTTAGTAGTCTTCACTTCTGCATCTGGGTGTCCGGTCCATTTTGCATTGTTTTTGTTTATGATTAAGATTAGGGTCCAGATCCCATTCTCCAACACAATTGAAAAGCATAGCTACCTCTTATTTACTAAATTTTTTCTTTTACAGTGTTACATAATAAGTTATTTGCCTGTTTTTTGATATTATTTATTACTCTATACTTGATACATTTAAATTGTCTCATGTATATATAAAACTTAATAATAACGTTTTTGAATGAAAATGTCTTTGGTTAGAGAAGAGAAAATTGCCATCATGCGAGAGAAGCACACAGCGTTGATGAAGCCTATTGTGTTTGCTTTGGAGCATGTTCGGAGCATCACTGCTGCCCCAGCAGAGACACCTCATGAAAAGTGGTTTCAGGATAACTATGGTGATGCCATTGACAATGCCCTTGAAAAACTAAAGACCCCGTCAAATCCTGCCAAGCCTGGAAGCAGCTGGATTCCATTTAAAGAGGTACAGAGTAGTTGTAAAAGTGCTGTAAATGTGGAAAGTTCTCCGTGAGACACAAACTTAAAACATTTGTGTTCATCGTGGAACATGAGAAAAGGTTTTGTTTGTTTGTTTGTTTGTTTTTGTTTTTCGAGATAGCTGTTTCTCTGTGTAGCTTTGTGCCTTTCCTGGAACTCACTTGGTAGTCCAGGCTGGCCTCGAACTCACAGAGATCCGCCTGGCTCTGCCTCCTGAGTGCTGGGATTAAAGGCGTGCACCACCACCGCCCGGCAAGAAAATGTTTTTATAAGCCAGCTGAAGGTATCTTGGTGATTGTTTGCTGATAAGGACAGTGGAGAAAATTATTTTACTCATTTGAAGAATTTGGAGACTGGAAGGCAGGAAGGGTGGCAAATACTATTCCTGCATATACTAGGTATGTGCTATTATAAATCTAGCTGTTTTGTATTCTCATAGGAGATTAGGAGATTGAATTTTTTTTTTTTTGACTGTGGTTTTTAAGGGGAAAGGTAGGCATTTCTAATAGTTTTTAGGTTCAGCATCACTAATCTGAAATGCTCCAGAATCCAAAGGGTTCTTGAGGAAATCTTCCATAGTACTAGACAAGAAAATGAACACAAACTGTGGTGTTTCTTAGGTATGCCCAGCCTGTTTATTACAGAGGACCAGATTAACATGGTCCAAGTACAATTTCTTTCTTGTTTTTGTTAATAAAGCTAAAAACTTAAAGGAGATACAGTACCTTTAAAGTCGATGTGTATGAAATAAGTCACTAAGAAAAAGTTTTTTAAGATGGTAGTTTGTTTTTTGTGGCAGTGGCTATAAAAACCCAGGTACCCTTGTATGTTAGGTGAGTATTCTACATTCCCAAATCTTCAGACTTTCTATCCATGTTCCATGTTTGACTAAACTGGTCTGTTCATGTGACAGTATCTGTTTTGTCACTTGATTAAGGGGAGATTTTCCAGTTTCTTTAGTTTTATAAACAAAACTTATTGAAGATTGCTCTGAAAGTTTATACATTATTAGTTGTTGATCCAGATATTCATTAGCTGTAAACAGGAGTAGAGCTATATTTGATACTTTGTTTCCTGGGGATAGATCTGTGCATGATACAGTCATTGCTCCCTGTGGTTATTAGCAGTGCTTCTCCTGGGTTTTTGCCTATTTCAAGGGGTCAGAAGCTTTTAAACTGTTAACTTCTGTTAAAGTGTCTGTTGTGCTCTGTTTAGTTTTGTATACCATCTTAGAAATTGGCTTCATAATTGAGCTGTATTTTTTTTTTAATAACTTCATGTCAGTAATTTTGCAGATAGTATCCCAAGGCTGTATCTGCCTTTGTGCCATCACAAGAACTGATTAATTTCTTTTGGCATTGTTGAGGCATAACTCAGAGCACCATAGTGACCCTCTGTGGGAATTTCTTCCCATCTCTTCTAATTCTCTTGCTCTACTTGGCAGAAAAGGAATGATGTCTTAAAGTAGTAATCACATACAACATGTTAGCACAGTACTCCCTGCTTCAAGGGTGGTTCACATTCCTAGCATCAAATTGAACATAGGGATTAAAACAGCAAATATTTATGGGGTGTTTGGGTTTACCTTTATGCCAAATGAAATGTGTTATATCAGAATGCAGACTTGTTTTTCCACCTTATGAACATAGATAATGCTGAGTTTGCAACAGAGAGCGCAGAAACGTGCAAGCTACATTTTGCGTCTTGATGAGATCAGTCCTTGGTTGGCTGCCATGACTAACACTGAAATTGCACTTCCTGGCGAAGTTTCAGCCAGAGACACTGTGACAATTCACAGTGTGGGCGGAACCATCACCATCTTACCAACTAAAACCAAGCCCAAGAAACTCCTCTTTCTCGGCTCAGATGGGAAGAGCTATCCTTACCTTTTCAAAGGTAGAGTTAGAACTAATTCATGCTTTTAAGACAAATGTGATTGTTAATGGTGTGTGTGCCTGTGTATGTCCATGTGAGTTTGCATGCACATTAGGATAAGCCTTTTGTAGATGAAATTCTGTATTTCTTATGTCCTGTATGATTTTGAATGACGGCTACATGTCACAATATCTCACCTTCTGCACCTTGCTTGTGAACTTATATAAGCAAACCAACTGAGTATACCTCAGTGTTAATAATTAATGCTAATAACACTGAATAGAATTCAGTGTTCTTAGAATTGATGTTCTTAAGTCTGCCTTACTGTGTTAATTCCTAACTAAAAATGCAGGAAGTAGTGTATTCTCAGACCTATTTGTTGCCCATCCTGGTAATTTGATTTTGTTTTTATAGGACTAGAGGATTTACATCTGGATGAGAGAATCATGCAGTTTTTATCTATTGTAAATACCATGTTTGCCACAATTAATCGGCAGGAAACACCCCGTTTCCATGCACGGCACTATTCTGTAACACCACTGGGAACGAGATCAGGGCTGATCCAGTGGGTGGATGGAGCCACGCCATTGTTTGGTCTTTACAAACGATGGCAACAGCGGGAAGCTGCCTTACAAGCACAAAAGGTTGGGTAAAATTCAAGTTCATTTGTATTCTTAATGGACTATGTATGAACAAGTGTGTATCAGGTCATTCTCAGTGACTGTGTGAACTCAAGCATGTTTAAATGCTTATTATGGGTTAGCAAATGGTGGTGGGACATACCTTACTGAACAGTGAAGTTTTAATACATATAGTTGCTAATTGCTCACATCTTAAATGCTCTAATGAGCTTTTAAATTACATTGTAAATAGTAAAAAGCTTTGAAACACAAATTATTTTTAATATTTAAGTAAGAAAGTTTTAACATGGACTGATCACTACATGTGATTTTATCATTTGATATAGACTAAGAGGTTTTTTTTTTTTTTTTTTATACAAAGTACCTGGGCATTTTATATGCCAAGCAGCGGAACTGAGTGGGGACCCAGGTTAGCAAGGACACTGTGCAGGCACTTACTAAGAGCTGTTAGAGCTGCAACAGTTCCCTCCTTCCCTCCCTCCCTCCCTCCCTCCCTCCCTCCCTCCCTCCCTCCCTTCCATCCACCCATTCATTCATTTTTGTGGTGGTTGAGCATCTAATTCCATGGCTCCAAGAATGCTAAATCCTCCTGTAACTTTAGTCTGGGAAGTCAAGTTTTAAGAGTAAGCACAGGCCTGTAATACAGTTATTGAAGAATAAGCTACAGATAGGAACTAAAGGAGCTATCTAAACTTTGGAATGTGTTTCTTAATAGCTGTGTTTATTTCATATTGAATAAATCATCAGTGAAGACTGAAAACATGCACGGGTGGATTATGCCTTTAAAAATGAATTGTGTTATAAAAAATATAGATTGGATTTTAAGTCAAACTTGCTTTATAATTTTTAATCTTTTCTTTAAAAAATTTTTTTAAAGGCCCAAGATTCCTACCAAACTCCTCAGAACCCCAGCATTGTACCTCGTCCTAGTGAACTTTACTATAGTAAAATTGGCCCTGCTTTGAAAATAGTTGGCCTTAGTCTGGATGTGTCAAGGAGGGATTGGCCCCTGCATGTGATGAAGGCAGTGTTGGAGGAGTTAATGGAGGCCACACCCCCAAACCTCCTGGCCAAAGAGCTCTGGTCATCTTGCACCACTCCTGATGAGTGGTGGAGAGTCACACAGGTATGTGGCACTTGGGGTTAGGTGTCACCATTGTTACTCGTGGCTTTGATCCGATCCTCTTTCTGGTCTTTTTCTTCCAGACTTTATAGTCGAGTCCTGTACTTGAATATTACTTGAGAATTATAAAAGTGTGGCTATGACTGTGAGAGAAGGGTGGTAGGGATAGTGGATCAAAATAAAAAGGTGAATACTGAAAGAGCTGAAGTTCTTTATTTTAAAAGAAATTGTCTTGGGATGGACATGGACCCCAGCATTCAGGAGACAGAGGCAGGCAGATAATCTGTGTGTTCATAATCAGCCTGGTCTACATGGAGAGTTACAGGGCTGCATAGTGAGACCCTGTCTTGGGAAAACAAAAACACCCCACAACATTCCTGGGGTTGGTGATGGGGTTTAGTGACTAAGAGTGTGTACTACTCTTTCAGGGGACCCAAGTTTGGTTCCCATCTCCAATGTGAAGGGGTTCACAACTGCCTGTTACTCTGGCTCTGGGGGAGTCAATGCCTTTGTATGGCCTTCTCTGGACTGCACTAACATGCATTTCCACACACATAATTAAAAATTGAACTAAATCTTTAAAAAACACAACCCCCCTCCCCTTACAAGTATGCCTCTCATAAGAGCCTGGGCAGCCCCTATGCGGCAGTCTTGAGGAGTGCTTTGTGGTTATTAATTTATTTTAGAACAAGGGAGTTGGATTATGGTGTTGTATTGATTTTTAGATTCTCTAGTCCCTTTTGGAGGAAGATTGACCCATGATGTTTATCTGCTCCCTTCCCCTCTTTAGTCCTATGCAAGATCTACTGCTGTCATGTCTATGGTTGGCTACATAATTGGTCTTGGAGACAGACATCTGGATAATGTCCTCATAGATATGACAACTGGAGAAGTGGTTCACATAGATTACAATGTTTGCTTTGAAAAAGGTATGAGAAAAATGGGCTTTTGCATTTATTTGAAGGTTAGTTTTTTGTGTGTGTTTAAGGGCAAAAATACAATGATTTATCTTTTCAAGGTAAAAGCCTTAGAGTTCCTGAGAAAGTGCCTTTTCGAATGACACAAAACATTGAAACAGCACTGGGTGTAACTGGAGTAGAAGGTGTTTTTAGGCTTTCCTGTGAGCAGGTATGCCTTTCCTCGTTTGCCCTGTAGTGTAACTGTTTAATGAGCAAAATCCATGGGATAAAGTCATAAAACATTTTCCTGTGGAAACTTGTGTTGATTTTACTGAAAATACTTTTAAAAATAGGTTCTCCACATCATGCGACGAGGCCGAGAGACTCTGCTGACGCTCTTGGAGGCTTTTGTGTATGACCCCCTGGTGGACTGGACAGCTGGTGGTGAAGCTGGGTTTGCAGGTGCTGTCTATGGTGGAGGTGGCCAGCAGGCTGAGAGCAAGCAGAGCAAGCGAGAGATGGAACGTGAGATTACCCGCAGCCTTTTTTCTTCCAGAGTCGCTGAGATTAAGGTGAAGCCCAGGGATGTAATATTATGGTCAGCTTTCTAACAGAGCAAATGTACATAAGGGTTTAGTGTTGTTAGGGCTTCTCTGTGTCATTTCTGTTAGGCTGTCTCCTACACTTACACTCTTTGGAGCTAGGGTAACATGTTTCACCAGCAAACACTGTTTCTAATTGAATAATTGAATAGCTTTCCTTCCCTTTCAGTAGTCACACATCTTAGGCTTATTTTTTTGTGGCCTGTGAATCTGTCCACTTAGCTAGGTAAATGTGAATATATCAATTATTTTTGTAAAATGGAAGCATTGCCACAAACCCAGTTAGTTGGGATTTTAGGTAAAAACAAACACCCAGATGTAGCAGCCTTCACAGTTCATTTAACGGGTGACACAGTAGAGCCTCTGACAGTTTTTTACTGTTCCTGATCACAACCTTCTTTCCAGGTAAACTGGTTTAAGAATCGGGATGAGATGCTGGTTGTGCTTCCCAAGCTGGACAGCAGCTTAGATGAATATCTGAGTCTTCAGGAGCAGCTGACAGATGTTGAAAAACTGCAGGGCAAACTGCTGGAGGAGATAGAATTTCTAGAAGGAGCTGAAGGAGTAGACCATCCATCTCGTACTCTGCAACACAGGTTCAAAATAATTGATTTGTGCTTCTCAATATAAGCTACTAACAAAGAAATATTGTATTTGTAAACACTTGTGCAGTGGCAGTTATTTCATCTGCTTTCTTGAGCTTAACAAAAGCATACAGGAACTAAAGAGATGGCTTAGCAGTTAAGAGCACTGGCTGATCTTCTTACCAGTTCCCAACACCTCCCTGGTGTCTCACAAGTCTATAAATCCAGTTCCAAGTGATCCAGTTCTCTCCTTACTTCCCTGGGCTCTTGCTCATAAACTTCATGCAGACATATGTGAAAATAATAAGTAAATAAATCTTTAAAAAGCATACAACTAGAGGGATCCAAGTGAATGAACCTCACATAGCAGGTACCCCCAATACTTGAATATGCAAATCCCTAACATTGCTAGAGGCACTCAGACTACAAAGATACAGCAATTTTCCTTTAGGGAATCTCAAACTCAGCATGTGTTAGAGTTTATTTAAATTGTTGTGAGCATAGTTGAGGAAATTGCAGGGTTGGAGCAAACTAGAAGAGGAAGGGGACATTTGAACAGGGTCCTTGAGAGTCAAATGGTGCTAGCCTTTGACTGACTAATGGTGGGTGCACATGCTTTTAATCCCAGCACTTGTACAGGGACAGGCAGGTCTCTGAAAGTTCAAGGGCAGCCTAGTCTGCAGAGTGAGTTCCAGGACAGCCAGGGCTATACAGAAAAACTGTCTTGAGCGCCCCACCCCCACCACCCAAGCCGATCACATTAGTCCAAGTTTTCAAAAAGTCCAGTCTTTACTAGATAGAAGAAAAGAGCTGCAAGTGACCTTTGGCTTTGGTTTCCTGATTAGGTATTCGGAGCATACTCAACTACAGACCCAGCAAAGAGCTGTTCAGGAAGCAATCCAGGTGAAGCTAAATGAGTTTGAACAATGGATAACACATTATCAGGCTGCATTCAATAATTTAGAAGCAACCCAGCTTGCAAGTTTGCTTCAGGAGATAAGCACACAAATGGACCTTGGTATGTGAGCATGTGGATTCTGTCATTATATGTTTGACAGGATGGGATTCTAATCTGTGTTCTCAATGACTACTGACTTGAAATGGTTTCTTTATGACTGTCTTTTACTACAAGGTCCCCCAAGCTATGTACCAGCAACAGCCTTTCTACAGAATGCTGGCCAGGCTCACCTCATCAGCCAGTGTGAGCAGCTGGAAGGGGAAGTTGGCACTCTTCTGCAGCAGAGGCGTTCTGTGCTCCGTGGCTGTCTGGAACAGCTGCATCACTATGCAACCGTTGCTCTGCAATATCCAAAAGCCATATTTCAGAAACATCGAATTGAACAATGGAAGGCCTGGATGGAAGAGCTCATCTGCAACACCACAGTAGAGCGTTGCCAAGAACTCTATAGGAAGTAAGTTGAAGGCATCTCATTCTCTTCATTTCACACTGAGGGAAGCAGGGTTGTGCTGTAAGTTGCTGTCTTAGTTAGGGCTTCTTTCTGTTGCTGTGATCAAGACTAACCAAAATCAACTTGTGAGAGGAAGTAGTGTATTTTATCTGCAGCTTATAGTTCAACATGAATGGAAATGAGGGTAGGAATTTGAGGCAGTAAACTTGGAGGCAGGAACTGATGCAGAGACTATGAAGCAAGACTGCTTACTGCTTGCTCAGCCTACTTTCTTACACAACCCATGCATCTGCCCATGGGTGGTACCATCTCTCTATAGACCGTGCTCTCCCACATTAATTAATTATCTATCAAGAAAATGCTCTTCAGACTTACTTACAGGCAATATGGTGGAGGCATTTTTCTCAGTTGAGGTCGTTCTTCCTAAATATGTCTGGGTTTATAGTTGACAAAAACTCAACCAGCACAGGTGCATTTTTTTCCCCCAAAAAAATGGTTAAATAGATAGAATCTGAGTGAAGTTCCTTTTTTTTTTTTTTGTTTCCATTTTTTTAAAAACCCTTTTCTTTGAGTCAGTTTGTTGTATGTCAGCCTTCCAAGTAGCTGAGGTTACAGGTTCGTGCCAACACTCACTCATCCACTCACCCACTCATTCACTCACTCACTCACTCACTCACTCACTCACTCACTCACTCACTCACTCACTCTCCGATATTTTGTTTTTTAAGAGGATGCTTATTTGCAAGTTTGAGGTGTGCCTGGTGCATAAAGGCAGACTAACTACTAAGGGCTTGGATGTGATTCAGTGTTATAAATATGGCATTTGCAAAGCTATGAGTTCCTTTCCCACAGTACTGCAGAGAGGGGGGTTATTAATGTGAGCTCATTCAGGGTTTCTCTTGCAAAGCACTGTTTCTCTTAATTAGTATATACAAGTGTTTGCATGATTGTATCACTCAATAAGCCATCTTACAAAATAGCTTATGTTCTTGAGAGTTTATCTGAAATGTAATTAGTGATTTCTAATTTTTGAGGATAGTACGCAATTTTCTTTTATATTTGCAGTGTGAATGTTATTTACAAGTAGGGGAATATTAATATAAGCAAGCACCTGCTTTTTTTTATAGATATGAAATACAGTATGCTCCTCAGCCACCTCCAACAGTGTGTCAGTTTATCACTGCCACTGAAATGACCCTTCAGAGGTATGCAGCAGACATAAACAGCAGACTTATTAGACAAGTGGAACGCTTGAAACAAGAAGCCGTCACCGTGCCAGTTTGTGAAGATCAGTTGAAAGAAATTGAGCGTTGCATTAAAGTTTTCCTTCATGAGAATGGAGAAGAAGGATCTCTGAGTCTAGCAAGTGTTATTATTTCTGCCCTTTGTACTCTTACAAGGTATGCTAGCATGCTTCATATTAGATTGGTGTTTTGTTTTAATCCCAAACTTAAAATACTGTTAATTTTGGCCTGTGTTAGAGTCACCTTCTTTCAGATTTTAACTCTTCTCAAGTTGACAACACTTGATCAAATTTGTTTTCATTTCCCACATAGGCGCAACCTTATGATGGAAGGTGCAGCCTCAAGTGCTGGGGAGCAGCTGGTTGATTTGACATCCCGGGATGGAGCTTGGTTCCTGGAGGAGCTGTGTAGTATGAGTGGAAATGTCACTTGTTTGGTACAGTTATTGAAGCAGTGCCACCTGGTACCACAGGACTTGGATATTCCCAACCCAGTGGAAGCATCCGAGGCTGTTCATTTAGCTAATGGAGTATACACATCTCTGCAGGTAAAGATTTACAAGTTTTATAAGTTGGGTTGGGAACATAGTTCACTCGGTATAGTGCTTGCTTTGCATACATGGAACCCTGCATTTAATCCCCAGAACCACATAACCAAGAGTGGTGGCACATGCCTGTAACCCCAGTATTCAGGAAGTAGAGGCAGGACGACCGGAAAGTTACGATCATCCTCAGCTTTCAGACTAGGTCTTAAAATAACAACAACTTCAACAAACAGCCCAGCAGCAAAACAGATCATCAGGAAAGGCAAGGCCATGAGTTTTCTAAGTTGAGGTTAGATATTAAACATTTTCTCACTTAGGTTTTTAATCCAGAATAGCAATTTGGCCGAATGTTGCTTAAGCAGTTATTTAAAATGTTACGGCTACATGTGTGTGCATAAAGCAGAGGCTGAGATGAGGTTTATGGTTAATTCAACTGTTGAATGTTGCTTAAGCACCCATTTAAAATAAGGATCAGAATGTAGTTTTGTGTGAGTTGGTATTTTTTGTTGTTGTTGTTTTTGAGACAGGATGACATGCAGCTCTGACTGGCCTAGACCTCACCACATACCCTATGCTGGCCTGGAACTCCTGTGTCTGCCTCCTAGTCCCAGGGGCTAAGATTAAAGATGTGTATCCCCACACCCAGCCTAACAATTTTTTGTTTGTTTGTTTTAAATTTTGGAGGCAGGGGTCTCTCTTTGTAGTCCTGGTTAGTATGGAACTTGCCATTTAATCTATCTCAGATTTATGGCAACCTCCAAGCTTGCTGCAATCCCGACTCTCCTTCCCGAGTGCTAAGATTACAGGTGTATGCCGCAATACCCTATATGAGTTGGTTTAATTTATGGGACTACATTATCAAATGCATGACTTATCTAAAGTTAGGAGAAGCATTAAAATATATATATATTCCCCTCTTTATAGGAGTTAAATTCAAATTTCCGGCAAATCATATTTCCAGAAGCACTTAGATGTTTAATGAAGGGGGAGTGCACCTTAGAAAGTATGCTCCATGAGCTAGACAGTCTCATTGAGCAGACAACTGACGGAGTTCCTCTGCAGACTCTAGTTGAGTCACTTCAAGCCTACTTACGAAACACAGCCATGGGACTTGAAGAAGAAACTCATGCTCATTATATCGATGTTGCCAGGTAAGTGTGCTAGTCAGATGGCAGATCAGCAGAGGTTAGTAATATTAGGACTGTGGAGACTAAGCCAAGAACATGGCCAGTTTGAGCCATCCTGTCATCTAAAAAGAGAGGTGGTAGGAATTAAGAGGTAGCCAGGTAATGAGATTCTGAGCTCTAACCTAATTACTTTGGCAAATCTGATTACTGACATGTGCTCATGCCTTAAAAAAAAAAAAAGCAAGTCCATTACTTCATAATAATTACAAATTCATTAGATTGTCTGCAGTCCTGTACAAACTCATTTCTTGTCTTACCTTACTTGCATGTATAAGTATAGCACAATAGCAGTGTTGTGAAATGGGCAGTGGGAAAGTCATGAAATATGCTTGTCTTTCACTAGTAACACACATACCTATTTTAGTGTCTGTGCCCTTTAGTAGCTTTATGCAGCTGTTGGCTGTACACACAACTACCTTTTTGTTGCTATGGCTATGTGTGTACATAAAGTTCAGTGTGTATGTTGAGTTTTATTTTTTTTATTACTGTCTGTGTGGATGGTGGTGGGGAACTCACTTGCCATGGTGCACATGTGGAAGTCAGAGGGCAGATTTATAGAGTCAATTCTTTGCTTCCACCTTTACATGGGTTCTGGGAATCTAACTCAGGTTGTTGAACTTGTATGACAAGTACCTTTACCCATTGAGCCCTCTCGTCAGCTCTCAGTGTGAGATTTTCTTGAGCCATGGAAGCATCTGAAGTAAACTTGGCTGATGAAATGGGTACCCCACTTCAGACAAACAGTTTTAATTTAGTTCATATTTATGTTTGGGAGATAAAACACCGTATTCTCTTTAATCCAGAAAAGCAGTTGGACTTTGGACCCTATTAAGATTGCATAGCCCTCCAAGACTTAAATTATAACTGGGGCTGAGCCCTATGCCCCCTTGTTAGTCTAGAGACTCAGGATCTTTTTCTTTGGCATTCTGATACTGAATTCATTGCAGAAAATACAACTCAGGGGTCAGCGAGGGGTCAGAAATACTGCCCACCTGATTTCCTCATTTGGTTTCACTTCCTTAGGAGTCAGTGAAGGATTTGTTTCCACATGTGAGGTCATCTGCACCTGTCCATTCTGGTTTACATTCTCTTCCTTGTTTTGTTTAGTTTTTGTTATTGTATGGGGAGGGTACTCATGCTACTGTGCACATACAGAGGTCAGAGAACTACTTTGTGGAGTTGTATGTCTCTTATCTTTATGAGGGTTCTGTGGATTGAACTCAAGTCATTAGGCTTGCATAATCTGATAGTAACTGCCTCTATCCATCATGCCATTAAAAAATAATTTACTTATTCTTATTTCATGTGCATTGGTGTTTTGCCGGCATGTATGTTTGTGTGAGGGGAGGGTGTTGGATCCATGGAACTGGAGTCACAGACAGTTGTGAACCACCATGTGGGTGCTGGGAATTGAACCTGGGTCCTCTAGAAGAGTAGCCAGTGCTACTAACCACTGAGCCATCTCTCCAGCCCCCATCAAACCATTTTGACAGCCTTCTCTTAGTTAATTTGATGTTGCCCCCCCACACACTCTATTTTTCTTTAAATAATTCAGGAAACATGAAATATGAGCATACCTTTCATAAACTTTGTCATTCATTCAACAAAAGCATAGCAACAAATTCCTTCATATCAGTGCTGCATTTATAGAAATCCTCTTCTTTTCCTGTTTTTTACCTGTAGCTGCATAAGAGTGTAACTAATAGCATAGAAACCAGCTAAAAGTGGTTTCAACTATTCAAGAAATAGCAGTATCATCATTTCAAACATGGTTAAAAAGTTGGCTTAAGTCTAAGAGCATCTATCTGGCTGCTCTTCCAGAGGTCCTGAGTTCAATTCCCAGCAACCACATGGTGACTCACAACCATCTGTAATGAGATCTGGCGCCCTCTTCTGGCCTGCAGGCAAACATGCAGACAGAACACTATACATAATAACATAAATAAATCTTATTAAAAAAAAAGTTGGCTTAAATCTGTGTACTTTTACTGAATTTCAGACCTTACTTTGTTTGTTGTGTTTGTCGGTGTGTGGATGCAAATACATGTGCCCATGTCTGCACCTGTAGAGGCCAGAGGTTGATGTCAAGTGTCTTGCTGTATTGCTCTGCCTTTTTTTTTTTTTTTTTTTTTTTTTTAGGTTATAAGATTTACTAAGCCTGGAACACACTGATTGGCTATACTTATCCCCCTGTCTTGTCCTCCCGTTGCTGGGTTCATAGGCATGCAACACTATGCCTTGCTGTTTATGAAAGTTGTCATCTGACATACTCTAAATTACACAACTTTGTTTTAAAGTTTTGAAATGTGTATAATTCAAAACTACATACTCCAAGTGACAGGTACTCACTCATACTACTGTCTAAAGTTGGTTCCAGTTACATGGCTATAGCACCATGGCACATGACAGTTTTATAGGTCTACACTTTAGAATTAGGTTATTCTTGACAGTCTCATGTATTAATGTAGTAAATTTTAAATTTTTAAATGAGTATCACTCATTTTGCATAAAATTTAGATCATATAAGTAGTTAATTACACATTATTAAAACTGAGTTGAAATCAATTGATTTTATAATGGAATTAGGACTAAATACTATTTTCTCATAGCAGTTCCCATAATGCTAGTGTGTTTCTATAGACAGCACAGTAGCTCTGAGACTTACAGGCTAGTGTGTTGCCCCAAACAAATTCTCCTTCTGATAAGGTTTTTAACACTCTTTTCTTTTTCTCTAGAATGCTGCATGCTCAATATGGTGAATTAATCCAACCAAGAAATGGCTCAGTTGATGAAACACCAAAAATGTCAGCTGGCCAGATGCTTTTGGTAGCATTTGATGGCATGTTTGCCCAAGTTGAAACTGCTTTTGGCTTATTAGTTGAAAAGGTAAACATTAACTTTGTTTTATGAAGGGTGTAAGTATAGTAGTCATTTACAAAGGAAGTGAGCATTTTTTCTTTCCATTTGCATAGTTAAACAAGATGGAAATTCCTGTAGCTTGGAGGAAGATCGACATTATTCGGGAAGCCAGGAGTACCCAGGTCAATTTTTTTGATGATGACAATCACCGTCAGGTGCTAGAAGAGATTTTCTTTTTAAAAAGACTACAGACAATAAAGGAATTCTTCAGGCTCTGTGGTACCTTTTCTAAAACATTGTCAGGTAATATTAGCATACTGGATTAGGTTGTGTTCTTAGTACTCAAGAATGGATCATGAAGGAAGTGACTTATTTTAATTGTGAACTTGTGAATTCTCAGTGCTTCAAATATGCAGTTTTATCTAATCTTACTGTTCAGGGCCTATTTTAAGATTTTTTTTTTTTTTTTTAAGGATCAAGTTCACTTGAAGATCAAAATACTGTGAATGGACCTGTACAGATTGTCAATGTGAAAACCCTCTTTAGGAACTCTTGCTTTAGTGAAGACCAAATGGCCAAGCCTATCAAGGCCTTTACAGCTGACTTTGTAAGGCAACTCTTGATAGGACTTCCAAACCAAGCCCTCGGACTAACACTGTGTAGCTTTATCAGCGCCCTGGGTGTAGACATCATTGCTCAGGTGGAGGCAAAGGACTTTGGTGCTGAAAGCAAAGTTTCTGTAGATGATCTGTGTAAGAAAGCTGTAGAGCACAACATCCAAGTAGGGAAGTTCTCACAGTTGGTAATGAACAGGGCTACTGTGCTAGCTAGCTCATATGACACAGCCTGGAAGAAGCATGACCTGGTGCGCAGGCTGGAAACCAGCATTTCTTCCTGTAAGACAAGCCTGCAGCGGGTGCAACTGCACATTGCCATGTTCCAGGTGAGCAGTTTGCTGTTTAGTGTGGTTTTCCTTACATACAATTCATGTATGCCAATATAAAGAAAAAGATGTAAACTGCCTCAACTGTGCCAAACCAAAGTGTGAATACTTTCTGGTTTTTATTTTTGTGTGTGTTTTGTTTGCAGTTAATGTGTTAATTAACAATGAGTATTGGTCATGAATATAATTTGTAACCGTTGTACTTATTCATGATGTAGGTTGGTCTATGCTGTATTACTGAATTTATAATTACATTTATCTTTAAATAGGTTTCACTGGTGCTCTAAAAATACAATGCATAGCTTTGTATCTAAGTAAATCTGCCTTTATTTTGGAAACTGCTTATAGAAGAAACCATTTTGTCATGTTAGCGCAGACTTTGGTATAAAATAGATTTGGATTCCAAACAGACCTAGTTCTGTCTGACATCCTGCCTGTAGATTGAGGGTGGTATCCATTATGGAGGATGACTTGTGAGGGTTAGGCAGTGATCTGTGAATATGGTATGTGCAGTGTGACTCAGGGATGGCTTTCTTACTGATTCTTTTCTAAATGTAGGTTTCGACATTGTCAGTAGCATCAAAAAAGTTAAAGGCATTGGAGAATGTCAGTTTTTGCAATCCGTTTTGGCATAAGCAGTGGTTATTTTGTTTGTTTCACGTTGGTCAGTGGAGCAGTGTTTCCTTCTATTGGCGCTTTTATCATCACTAGCTATTTTCTTACTTCATAAGCTAGGAAAAGTAGTATATTCTACCCTAATCATATTAGTTGTATATTAATAGTCCTGCATTTCACACACTGTCTGTGGGTGTAGGGTGGGTGGGGGATAATGCTTTATGATTTCTGAAAATGTTTTATGCTTTGAAATAGCACACATTTTGGATTTTATTCCCTTAAAAGTTATCAGTGTTGGGGCTGGGAATGTAACTCATTTGTAGTTGGCAATGCATGCACAAGGTCCAGCACTGTATTAACTGGACTTGGTGGTACACACTTGTTTGGGCAGGAGGATCAAACTTGGCTATATAGCAGGTTTGAGGCCAGCCTTAGGTATGAGACCCTGTCTAAAATAATAGTAATAATAATTAATAAAAAAAACAAATGCCAACAATTTTAAATTGACAGTTAATATTTTGGGAAACTTGTTAGAAATTCTTTCCATTTTTAAATCTAGGCACACTTTTAAGCTGTAAGTATAATGTATAACTATTGCATTATTTATTATTTACTGGTGCTAGGAATCAAATCAATCCAAGGCCTTACACATTATGTTAGGCACATCACTGAACTATACCCCCAGCTCCTGTATAAGTTGTAGCCCAAATGACCTTCAAGAACAGTAAAAAAGAAAAATGATTTGATAGTGTGTGGAGAGTTCTTTTTCTGTCTAGTCTCCTTGCTAGACAATCCCACCAGACCCAAAACTAATTTCACTGCATCCTCTTATCTAGAGATTGACACACACATCACAAAGACAAGGTGTATGTTCTTGTTTTGTTTTGCTTTTAAATTAAGTAGCTCAAGCTGGCCTGGGACTTATTATCCTCCTGTTTCAGTCTTGGCAAGTACTGGGGTTACAGGTTTATGCCACTAGGCCTGGAAAGGTCAGTTGTCTTTGGGGTATGCCTACCAAATGTAAGACTTACTAGATGTCTTAAGAATTCCTGTTGAGTGCTGTGTATTAGTGATCCCTGAAGTTTACCAGCCATTCTCCACGTCAGGGAAGTTTTCAGTTTGATATGATACTTCTTTCCCCAACTCATTGTCCCTTTGTTGAAGCTCAATGTTCTGTCTCTCCCAGTCTTACTTATGTTGCCCTTCCCTTATTTTTCTAAGTTTTGTCCTACTGGTGCTATATTCCTTTTTTCTTTGAATAGTGGCAGCATGAAGACCTCCTTATCAACAGACCACAAGCCATGTCAGTCACCCCGCCTCGCTCTGCAATCCTGACCAGCATGAAGAAGAAACTGCATGCTCTCAGTCAGATTGAGACTTCGATTGGGACTGTCCAGGTGTGTTTGACTGGCTTCCTACTAGCACATTTGGATTTTTGAAGTAACTAACTAGTGACATTATATTTGTGCCTGTCTTTGGCTTCTATGCCAAAGAAGTATAGTTCAATCCATTTTCACTTCCACTTTAATTTTTTAAATTTTGTTTTTATTAAAAATGAAGAGCTGTCCATAGAATATATTCTGATCACAGTTTTCCCTCCCTCATACCTCTACCTCCTACCCTTATAACACCACCATATCTTCTTTATTTCTTAAGAAAACAAACAAATAATTTTTTTCCCTTTCTATTTTAGTCTAACTCTCCAAGACCAAGGACTTGTGTTTTTTTTTTTTTTTGGTTTTTCGAGACAGGGTTTCTCTGTGTCGTTTTGGTGCCTGTCCTGGAACTCACTCTGTAGCTCTGTGGACCAGGCTGGCCTCAAACTCAAAGAGATCCACCTGGCTCTGCTTCCCGAGTGCTGGGATTAAAGCTGTGCGCCACCACCAACCCTGGTGACCAAGGATTCTTAGAGTAATGGTTTCACCTGGTTTACTATGAAGCTTGGTTCCTTTGTACTTCTGTCCTATAGATAAAGGATTCAATATGTTCAAGGCAGCAGAACATGTTTCTAAATGATTGTTATTGGTTGTATACTTCCAGCTTTATGTTGAAAGCTAAATATTTAGTTAATTTTTTTAAAAACAAAACTGGTCTTGAAGATGCATGTGTGTGTGTATCCTACATAACTCAGGTAATACTTAGTGACATTCTTTTCTGATTATATAATTTAAGAGTATAATATGAAATTCAATACTAATATAGTACTTGAAATTTTGTTTTGTTTTGTTTGAGACAGGGTTTCTCTGTGTAGTTTTGGTGCCTATCCTGGATCTCACTCTGTAGACCAGGCTGGCCTCGAACGTGCAGAGATCCTCATGGCTCTGCCTCCTGACTGCTGGGATTAAAGGTGTGCACCACCACTGCCTGGCTTGCTTGTTTTTTTTTTTTTTTTTGAGACAGGATATCTCTGTGTAACCCTGGCTGTCCTGGAACTTTCTATGTAGACCAGGCTGGCCTTGAACTTGAACCCGATGGCCTTTGCCTCGCTAAGTACTGGGATTAGAGGTGTGTGCCAGCACTGGCTGTATTTTAAAATTTTGAAGTGAAACTTTTTTGATCTTAGTTCTTTGAAGTTGGCCAGCAGTCTGCCAATTGAGCTATGTCCCTAACCATCCCCCCCCCCCCCCTTAATTTTTAAACTTATTTATTTGTGGTAAGAATTGAACATAGGGTCTCTTGCTTGCTGGGCTACTGATCTCTCAGCTTCATACATCTCCAGCAATGTTTGGATCTTCCTCTTCCTCCACCCCCCACCCCACCCCCCCTCATTTTGGCATAGAGGAGACAGGTTTTTACCTTGTATCTCAGGCTATCCTGGAACTAGCCGTTGGCATTCCCAGTGCTGGAATTACAGGTGTGCCACCATTATGCTGAGTTTGTGTTTAATGTTTTAAAAAACTGCTTTTAAAAAAAATGACAATCACAAACACTGAAAAAAAAAAAAAAACAAAAAAAAAACCACAAAACAGGGCTGGAGAGATGGCTCAGGCGTTAAGAGTGCTGGATCTTCCAGAGTTCAGTTCCCAGCACCCACATGGCAGCTCACACCTGTCTGTAACTCCAGTTTCAGGGGACCCCCACACCCATGGCAAAAACACAAATGCACATAAGAATAAAATAAAATATATTTTTTAAAAAAGTAAAAGCCAAAACAAAACCAAAAGAACATGAAAGTGGTATAGATTTTAAGAAAGTAAATTAGAGCTGGAGAGATGGCTCAGAGGTTAAGAGCACTGGCTGTTCTTTCAAAGGTCCTGAGTTCAATTCCCAGCAACCACATGGTGGCTCACAACTATCTGATAGGAGATCTGGTGCCCTCTTCTGGCCGGCAGGGATATGTGCAGACAGAACACTGTATACATAATAAATAAATAAATCTTTAAAAAAAAAAAGAAAGAAAGTAAATTAAAAATCAATCTTTTCTTCCCTAGGCATCTTTGGCACTTAAATATTCAAATAAAATCGAGATGAACAGGCTAGAGAGATGGCTCAGGGATTGAGAGCACCGACTGCTCTTCCAGAGGACCTGGTTTCAATTCCCAGCATCCACATGGCAGCTCACAACTGTCTGTAACTCCAAGATCTGACATTCACACAGACAGACAAACATGCAGACAAAACACCAATGCACATAAAATAAAAATAAATTTAAAAAATTAAGATGAACTCCAAAACAAAGATGTTTGAGATATTTTATAAATTAAGCAGGCCCACCTATGCTTCTTCTGACTCTGTCTGATCATAAAATGTTTAACAGGGAGTGGAGAGTGTGGTAAGGCTCAGGGATTCTGCTGGCTTTTACAGGAAAAACTAGCAGCCCTTGAAGCAAGCATTGAGCAGCGGCTGAAGTGGGCAGGTGGTGCCAACCCTGCACTGGCACCAGTACTGCAAGATTTTGAAGCAACAATAGCTGAAAGAAGAAATCTTGTTCTCAAAGAAAGCCAGAGAGCAAACCAGGTACTGCATCCTGCACCCCCCATGATGCTGTTTGCAGATTATGAAAGCATTTGCATTTTGTCTTTAGGTGCTTTTGGCTATGTCAGATCTAGGAATACTGACGTGCACTACTTACAGTCTTTGTAAATATTTGGTGTGTTTTCACAAAGGGTCTTATGTTCTTAGGACCAGTTCTCATTCAGATTCTAAAATGAGTAGGTATTGCTGTTTTTCACATCATCAATCTCCTTCCCCACCATTTGTGGGTTCTCTCTTTACAGGTCACTTTTCTCTGCAGCAACATCATTCATTTTGAAAGTCTACGAACAAGAACTGCAGAAGCCTTAAGCCTGGATGCTGCCTTATTTGAACTAATCAAACGATGCCAGCAGATGTGTTCATTTGCATCACAGTTCAACAGTTCAGTCTCTGAGTTGGAGCTTCGTTTATTACAGAGAGTGGTGAGTCCTGTGGGAGTAACTAACTGAAAGTGTTAAAAATAGTAAGGCCAGTAACCCAAATTAAATTTACGGTTATTGAAGACTAAATAATATAACAAGTTGTTACAATTGAATTAATGTTAATTCTATTTAGGACACGACTCTTGAACATCCCATTGGCAGTTCTGAGTGGCTTCTGTCAGCACACAAACAGTTGACCCAGGATATGTCCACCCAGAGGGCTGTTCAGACAGAGAAGGAGCAACAGATAGAAACTGTTTGTGAGACCATTCAGAGCCTGGTGGACAGCGTAAAGACTGTGCTTACAGGTCACAACCGGCAGCTTGGAGATGTCAAACATCTCCTGAAAGCCATGGCTAAGGTAATGCACCCCATTAGTATAGTTTCCTGTCTCAAGACATTATATAGGTTGCTTTGTGGAAAGATGTGACACTTTGTAAAGAAAAATAACTTCTCAATTTACATCTTGCAACTCGTTTGTAATTAGGTCAGAATGTGTTTTCATCAACTTTTCTTTTTGTTTTTTTGAGACAGGGTTTCTCTGTGTAGCTTTGCACCTTTCCTGAAACTCACTTGATAGCTCAGGCTGGCCTTGAACTCAACAAACATCTGCCTGCCTCCGCCACCCAAGTGCTAGGATTAAAGGCGTGTGCCAGCACCACCCGGCCAACCATTTTTTTTTAAAGGAGGCATTATGATTTTTGTACAGGGAGAATCTGAGGCTTAAATGGATTAACTTAGTGCCCAGTGGAACAGCTATTTCGGTTTTTAGTCTCTTATTCTCCACTTGTGTCTCTAGACAAATAGAGCTTTTCTCCAAAGTGAATGAACTACTGTCTCTTCCCTCCAGTACTCTACTCAGTGTGGTTAATAAGGAAATACATTCCCAGAAGAGGCTAAATTACTTCATCATTACAAAATAGTGGGAGCAGTCATTTTGATATTTCTTTTTATTTGGTGCTGGAAACAAAGATCCTGTAAAAAGAAACTAACATGTAACAAGCAGATCAAAGACAGTGATATTTAGGTCATTTATTACCTCTTGATCACAAGGTGACTGTCTTGAGAGGAATTGCTGGAACAAACAAGTCTGTTACTAATGGATTGTGCATTGGTGGCAGGACGAAGAGGCTGCTCTAGCAGATGCTGAAGATATCCCCTATGAGAGCAGTGTCAGACAATTCCTGGCTGAGTATAAATCATGGCAAGACAACATTCAGACAGTTTTGTTCACGTTAGTCCAGGCCATGGGTCAGGTTCGAAGTCAAGAACATGTTGAAATGCTGCAGGAAATCACTCCCACTTTGAAAGAACTGAAGACACAAAGCCAGAGGTAAGAGTGCTTTCTGGCCAACTCGCATAACATAGAAGCAAAGCATGAGAAGTTTTGCTCGTGTATTTATAAGTAGTTATCTGATAAAAACATTCCATAAATAAACATTTCATAAATTTTGTATTTCAGTATCTATAATAATTTAGTGAGTTTTGCATCACCCTTAGTCACCGACGCAGCAAACGAATGTTCAAGTCCAACATCATCTGCTACTTACCAGCCATCCTTTGCTGCAGGTATGAAAGAGGCCGCATCTTGATGTGTTGACAGTTTATACATACAGGTTTAGGTGCTTAGTTCTGGGTGAAGGTCTATTGTGTTTATAATCACTACCTTTTAAAGGGGTTTTCTTTAATGCTGTCAGATACCAACCTCAGTAATTATCATTAAAAGAACTTAACAAGATAGCAGAAATACCTGTATTGAAATATTCCTTAAAAGTTTATTTTAGCTAGGCGGTGGTGGTTTAAAGGTTTAACTTAGCCAGGCAGTGGTGGCGCGTGCCTAATCCCAGCACTCTAGAGGCAGAGGCAGGGATCTCTGACTTCAAGGACAGCCAGGGCAATACAGAGCAGCCCTGTCTCAAAAAAAAAAAAAAAAGTTTATCTTATGATGCATACTTCTAGTACCTGTACTGGGGAGGGTGAGGCAAGAGGATTGTGAATTTAAGGCTAGCCTGGCCTAATATTAAAACTGTCTCAAAAAACAAAACAAAACAAAACAAAACAAAGGACCAGAAAGATGGTTAAGAGTGCTTGCTGCTCTCGAAGAAGACAAGAGTTCAGTTCCTAACTCAAAATTTCCTGTAACTCCAGCTCCAAGGACTCTGATGCCCACTCTGCCCTCATTAGGTGTGTGGGTGTGTGTGTGCACGCGCGTGTGCGCGCGCACACACACACACAGAGATAAAAATAAAATAAAATCTTTACAAATGAACCAAACTGAAAAAGAAAACAATCATCTAATTTAATAGGATTTAATATTGTTCTGTATTTAAAATGAATGGGTTAATTTCTCTTATAAAGAATAACTGGGTAATGCACAGCTATAATCCCAGTACTTGGGAGGCCAAAGCAGGAGGCTTGCAAGTCTGGGGCTTAAATGATCTCAGACTTCCTCGTTTCTATTTACTTATTTACTTACTTACTCACTTGTTTGTTTGATTTGTGGCTGTCCTGGAACTTGCTATGTAGGTCAGGCTGGCCTTGAACTCAGAGATCCCTCTGCCTTTGCCTTCCGAGTGGCTGACATTGAAGACATCTACTACATGTCTGGCTTCAGACTTTTAATTTTATGATTTAATTTTTTTTCTTGTTGGGACCTTTAGAATATTAGAATAACAATAGAGAATTTTGTTCGGAATCTTTCATTTCAAATTAAGCCATGAACACTACTGTGCATATCTGTAGGGCTTTTTATTTTTTTTTAAATAATACTAATATATTCACACATAGATCATTTTGTGAATTTTTTTTGTTGTGTTTTCCTAGTTGATGTTAAATTGGTAATTGCTTGATGTAAAGTTAATGACCAAAAAGTATATCAAGCTATGCTGAGATCTGTCTGTCTGTCTATCTATCTTATCTGTTTATCTGTCATGTGAATTGGTGTTTTGCCTGCATGTATGCCTATGTGAGGCTGACAGGTCTGGAACTGTAGAGACAGTTGTGAGTTGTCAGGTGGGTACTGGGAATTGATCCTACATCCTCTGGAAGAGCAATCAGTGCCCTTAACCCCTCAGTCATCTCTTCAGCCCAATACTTAAAATATTTATTATTTTTAAAAGACAGCATCTCACTGCTAAGCCCTGGTTGGCCTAGAACACAGAGATTCGCCTGCCCCTGCCTCCTGGGAGCTGGATTCAAGGTGTGGCCACCATCTTAATCTTTTCTTTCTAGTGCTCTTGCTGCTGCTGCTGCTTCTTCTCCAGTATATTTTGGCCATGGTCTTCCTCCTGTCCTAACTCCTCCCAGAATTCCTCCCTCCCATCCCACCCAATTTCATATTAAAAAACAAAATCAAGCCAGGTGGTCATGGTGGCACATGCTTTTAAGTCCAACACTCAGGAGGCAGGGGTAGGCAGATCTCTGTGAGTTCAAGGCCAGACTGATCTACAGAATTCCAGGACAGCCAGGGCTACATGGAGAAACCTATCTTGAAAACACAAACAAAACAAAATAAACACACACAAAACCAAATGCAGCAAACAGTCTGAGAATTCTGTTGTATCAGCCCTGTTGTGTCTGGAAGACACTTTCCTTGGAGTCATCCACCACCTCTGGCTTTTAAAATCTTTCTGTCTCCTCTTCTGCATAGATCCTTGAATCCATTTAGGGTTGAATGCTATAAAGTTTCTTGCTCTCCGATGTTGTCCAGTTGTGGGTCTCTGTGTTAATTGTCTACTGCAAGAAGTTTGACTGATGAGGTTGAGTGATGCACTGATATGGGTCCCAGTTATGTGTAGTGACTATGGTGTCCCTGTTAGAGAGACATTCTGTAGTTGGCAGAGAGTTGCAGAGGAATTGAGATTGGCTGGGAAGAGTGGTTTAGGAGGGTGATGAGGAAGCTTTTTTCTACCTTAAGGTTTTTGAATTTAATGTATGAATGTTTTGCCTGCATTGTGCACCATATAGGTGCCTTGTGTCTTCAGAGGTCAGAAGAGAGTGTCAGTCAGATATCCTGGAGCTCTGTTTACCAATGGTTGTAAGCTACCATGCGGATGTTGTGAGTTGAAACAGAACCCCTATAAGAACAGCAACAACTCTAAACTGCTGAGCTGTGTTTTCCAGTCCCAATCATTACGGAATACTTTTTGTGGGTGATTGGTGTGTGTGTGTGTGTGTGTGTGTGTGTGTGTGTGTGTGTGTGTGTGTGTACACACGTACGTGTGTGTACATTGGGTGCCATCCACCTTGGTTTTTTAAAGATTTTATTTTTGAGTGTTTGTCTACAGTGCCCAGGGAGGAATGAATGTATTGGATCCTCTGGAACTAGAGTTATAGACAGTGTGAGCTTCCATTTGGGTGTTGGGAATTGAGCCTGGGTCCTCTGCAAGATTAGCCAGTGTGTTTTTTACCTTGTTTTTTAAGACAAGGCCTCTCACTGGCACCTTACCTGGGCTCACGGATTAGCTGGCCAGTGAGCCCTAGGGATCCACTTGTCCTAGCCTCCCTTGCACTGGAATTACAAGTGCACTCTGGCTTTATGCCTGATTGAGGTATTGCCTGCCACTGTTTATCATTGCATAGTGAAGATGGTTATGTTGTACAGCTTCATATATTGAGAACCTCACTGTTGAGGTTGTGTTTTTAGGAACATTGTTATGTCTAGGGATAAGGATTTTTACCATTATAAAATCAAGTTCATTTTAAAGATTGAGTACTGTGGAGTACTTGCTACCAGCCATCCCTGTGTATGTGCTCCCACCCCACCCCCCCCACCCCATTTCTGTTTGTTTGCATATAAATAGAGCCACTAATTCTTTCTCTGTAGCGGTCCGGAGCAATACTGGCCAGAAGACTCAGCCTGATGTCATGTCTCAGAATGCTAAAAAGCTGATTCAGAAAAATCTGGCTACATCAGCAGATACTCCACCAAGCACCATCCCAGGAACTGGCAAGAGCATTGCTTGTAGTCCAAAAAAGGCTGTCAGAGATCCTAAAACAGGGAAAGGTAATCAGTTAGAGTATGAATGCCTTATAATTCTATAATACACAAAGGTTGGTTTGACTAACATGTGTCATTGCTTTATAGCTGTGCAAGAGAGAAACTCCTATGCAGTGAGTGTGTGGAAGAGAGTGAAAGCCAAGCTAGAGGGCCGAGACGTTGATCCAAACAGGAGGATGTCAGTTGCTGAGCAGGTGACTATTTTTTAAGCTTAAGCTATGTTTTAATACTGCTGGTAGGTTGAAGGATCTCGTTTACCCATTTTCTTATTTCATTAAGAATTAAGGCTCTTAGTCTAGCAGTATGACTCAGTGGGTAAGGTCACTAGCCACAAAAGCTTGACAACCTAAGTTCAATCCTTGGTTTCACATGGTGGAATAAAGAAAGACAACTCACTCAAGTTGTTCTCTGACCTCCATTTGTCTTCTGATGAGCTCATTCTCTCTCGCTCAGCAACAAAAAAAGAAAGCCCCTAAACCTACATTCAGGAGTCAGAAGGTTATTAGTAACATAGCTCTGGGATTGTCAAATGCTCACAACTTTACTCTTCACTACTTAGGACTTTCCTTTCAGGCAGCATCTTTCATAGAAATTTAAGCTCGAATTATTCACCACACTCAAGTTAATTCTCACTTTAAAGATTCTGAAAGTTGGCCAGGCGGTGGTGGCACACAGCTTTAATCCCAGCACTCAGGAGGCAGAGGCAGGTGGATCTCTGTGAGTTTGAGGCCAGCCTGGGCTACAGAGTGAGTTTCAGGAAAGGTGCAAAGCTACACAGAGAAAACCTGTCTCGGAAAAAAAAAAAAAGATTCTGAAAGTTTCAGATGAAGGGAGGACGACAGTTTTTTGGAAGTGTAGACTAGTTCTCTGAATACCTATGTGTCTTTGTCCAAAGTTTTTCCCTGATATTAGTTGTGTGTGTCTGTATAGTGCACCCCCACTCCTCCAGGTGCTGGGGATTGAGCATAGGTCCTGATAGGTGCTAGGCAAGTACTTTACCACTGAGTTATTCAACTCCCAGCTGTTATTAAAAATGTCCAAAGTTAGAGAAAAGTTGTAGGAATGCCATACGTTTTACCAAGACTAACTATTCTTGCATACACTTTCATCATTGTTTTGTTCTAAGCATGGCATTTCATGGCATAATCCTGAGAGCAAATAATGGTGGGGGGATGGGTAGGCTCCTATGATCCCTATGTTTCTAAGGGTTCTGACTTTGCTAAGATACTCAGCCTGTGTATCCTCTGTGGTCATAGAGTGCATCACCTCTTTTTTACCAGATTTTAACCAAATCTTCCTTTGGTGATTGGGTTGACTAGAACGTACTCTAGAGACAACTCATGCAATTTGTATATAAACTGTGACCTTGCAAGTTCTCAGTGGTTTCCAATTTTGTTCTACCTATGTTCACAGGTTGACTATGTCATTAAGGAAGCAACTAATCTAGATAACTTGGCTCAGCTGTATGAAGGTTGGACAGCCTGGGTGTGAATGGCATCACAGTAGATGAGTCTGGTTAAGCGAGGTCAGACATCCACCAGAATCAACTCAGCCTCAGGCATCCAAAGCCACATCACAGTCGGTGGTGATGCAACTGGGGGCTTACTCTGAGGAAACCTAGGAAATCTCGGTGTACTAGGAAGTGAATCCTGCAGGACAGCTGCACTCAGGGATACGCCCAACACCATGGCCAGGGTCAAAGGTGAAGAAAGCAAGCTCACTGCCTGCACACGGAGATTGTCTTTCTGCCACAGAACAGCTGCAAATGTGTCAGGAGGTTAGCTGAGAAAGAAATCGGGATGCTGCGGAGCACAGAGTGACTTGGAACTCCATTCCACCTGACCCTGTGTGTACAATCCAGGAAAACAAACCCCGCTCAGAAACAGAGAAAACTGGGGCCGCGAAGAACTCACAGCCACGGAAGAGTTGATGCATTCAGATTCTGGAGAAACACTTGTTGCTTGGCAACAGTACTGGTTGGGTTGACCAGTAAGTACCAAAAGGCTATGCTGTATGAATTTCAGAAATGGACTGAAAAAAAAGGAGAGCAGTGTAACAGACACTACATTGGAAGAACTGACTTCTGAAATGAAGGGAAAAGCACCTAATGGATCCCACTCCTCCCAATCGTTTACCTGTTCCCCAGCTCCCCCTTGACCCCTTGACCCACTCTGGTAGATTAGCCAGCTGTCAGACTCACTTTTATTTCAATCCTTACACTTCATAAACTTCGTCTCCACGCCGTTACCATTTGGAGACAGAAACAGGAGCTTCTCCAAATCCAGTGAAAACATGGAAAATTCAAGGATTGTTTAAAGGTCCGATCATCACATACAAGGTGTAACTCTGGTTATTTCAGTCATATCTGTGACTCTTATCATGTACAGTTTCCAGAATTGTCACTGTGCATCCAAACGTTATGAGTCTAACAGACATTGATTTCATGTGCACTCCCCTTTGCTTACAGTGTGCATTTTTTGGAGGTCATTCAAAATTTCCCTCTTCTGTGATTGCTGTAGTTTCTTTCATAGAAAGTAGCTGATCTGATGTAATCTTTTACCTTTTAAACAACCAGGATAGAGAACCTATTGGAGTTTGCATTGTTGATGACAGGTTCACAATAAAGTGATGTTCTGGTGGAGGTAGAGTGAAATGTTTTTTAATTCAGTTTTCTCATTTGATACTTTTAATTTACAAAGTGTAATTTTCTCTTACGTTTTAAGGTGTAAATTAAAAGTGCTTTAGTTTACCTGGCATTTGGGGGCATACGAAGTGATGCCCACCAGCACCTTTAAGTTCAGCTGGTGGTCTGTGAGGGGTTCTATTTACTTTCTGCATCATTTTATAGCTTACTGTTGAGTGACTAGTGTAGTGAGTCATGATCAAGGCATCATTTAGCATTTTCAGTACTCGCTGCTGATCCTCGATAGAAGTCCAGACTAGAATAGAGCTAAAAATCACGTATCAACACAGAATAGCACACAGTATTTTGAGTCTGTTTACCCAGCATTTTAGCAACTAGTGCAGTGGCCACTTACATTTGCCAGCCTCTACGCACAAGCCTGAAAGGTCCTATGGAAATACTCCATGTGCCTCTGGGCTCTTCTCTGATTGCTACGAGTTTAATTCTAATCCTCACAGGATGGATCCCAGTGTCAGCACTTTCTTAATTATGAGTATTGGAAGAGGCTGTTTGAATTTCCATGTGTCCAATGACAAGTTAAGGAACTTAGCACATTGCATTTGATTTTATTCATTGATTTTTGAGCCTTATTTTCACAAAACAGCCTAGCTGGAATATTGATGCCATACTGTATTTTGCATGCTGCTTTCTTCCCTAGAGGCATTGAGGGCAACTGTACTTGGTAACTTTTGCTCTCTCAAGATTTGTCATTTTTAGCCATTCTTCATGTCAGGAAGAGCTTTTATCATAATGATAAACCAGCTCATATTTATTTGTCCCTGTAGGTGGTGATACTGGTCAAAAATGGCTTCTGTTTTGGTAATAGGTGAATTTTATTTCCCATGAATTTCCGGCATAAGTACCTGGCACCTTAATCCAAGCAAAAATATGACAGCTTAAAAAAACAACCAAAAAAAAAATGTGCCTCTGATGAATTACCCATCCTTTCTATTTTAAGCTGGTCCCTGAGAGAAGAGTAGGTCTTGGTTATAGAGCAGATAAGAGCAACCAAGTACTTCAAAGCTTGCTGCTTGCTCACTGCACTCCAGACAAAACCCTTATCTGTGTGGTTTGGCTTCCTGTGCAAATAGCCTTGCCAGGTTGAGCTTTTGTAAGAATCCTCAAGTGGAAAAAATAGGGCTATTGGGGGAATGTCTTAAGAAATCATGTAGAGTGCTATAGTTTTGAAGTCATACATTTTTTGGATGACAAAATACCTGTGGAAAACCAGGGATATTTTCTCTTTCTCCCCAACCCTTCCTCTCCTTACCCCTCTACTCCCTACTTCCTCCTCTCCACTCTAAGATTCAGGGGGTACAGGACAACCATACAACAACCTCTTCTAATTCAGAGTACCCTTGAGAATTGAAATGTATTGTGTTTTGTTGTCTTTAATTAGCTAGAGTCTGTTTTCAGTTGATTTCTCTACCAAGCTGTGGAAACCTGGTACTTAGGAAACTGTTTCTTCCTTTACCAAAGTGTCTTGTAGTTTCTGTTTCTGGTCAGGAGCTGATCACGCATTTGGCTAGATGACTTCTTTTGACACTGGTGGTGATCTTGATCTACTTTCTTAGATCACTTATTCAGAGTTCAAACCCCAAGTTCAGGGTGAGAATTTGTAATACAAAGGAAAAACTCCCTTCACTTTGCTCTTAACACTTGCCTCTGTTACCTACGCTTAGTTAGTAGTTTTCTTAATATTGTCCAATGTTTGGTGTTATCTACATTGTTTTTGTTTAATTGTGGTTGTTCCGATGTGTGAAATTTAAGGAAAGAGCCATTTAATAAAAGCCAAGCAGGGCAATGCAAGTACAGCCAAATACTAGAGTTGATGTGCAGTCTTAGGTCCTTTTTAATCTGGGGTATTATAGGCAGTACTTTAAATCAGAGTCTTCCTGGCCTATTTCCCTCCACTTTTTTGTAGTTACTTGGGGGCTTACTTGTGCAGTACTAAAATCAAAGGAGCTGGTTCTTCTTTTCTCCCAATTCTTTTCTTAGTAATGAGCACACCTACAACTAGCCTGTGACTCCTATTCAAACACAGCATATGTCAGTGCTGTGCTGCTTTCTGTTAGCTGGAGTTCCTGCAGTGCAGGGATGGAACCTTGCACGTGCTAGGCAAGTGCTCTACCCCTGAGCTACATACATCCTAGCCCTTACAACTAGCACACTGAAGCAGCTTTGTTTCTCATGTGTTCAGATGAGTACGAAAACTAACATTATTTTTTATCTTGTTGAATTTATAAAATGCCAGTAATTTAGAACCCTCCCCCTCCAAATCAAGGAGGCAAAATTTAACGCACTAGTCGCTGAAGTCTTCATCTTCAGTTCACTGGGTAGGATAAGAAGATTCCTTGTAAGAGGTACTAGTGAGCATCAGCGCTTTGCTAAGATTCAAGAGAAGGCAGTTCCCTGTACTTTGCCTGCTTTGGGGGCTGGATAACATCATTTACAAAATGCAAACTGAGCTTAGGTTCAAAAAGGCAACCAGGGAGAGAACCTTTGAGAATTGGGGCTCACTGGGTGAGTCTAGTGCTAATGTTAAAAACTCAATCAGCTGGATATTTGAAGATGGTAAAGAATTGGATATTGTTCTGAAGCAGATTTTCCCCCTCAAAACAGGCAGATTAACAGTGGTTGTTTTCCCTTTCCTGATGTTTGATTCAGCTCTGTTTCAGATTACTGTGTTACTTATTTTATTTGCCAGTTTTAGAAGTCTCTTATGTTTCCGCCTGGAATGTCAGGTGGCAGTGACATCACATTTCATGTTTGATTTTTTTTTAAACCCTTATTTAAAAGCAAGTTGAGTTAAGCCAAGTCTTCCTTGTCCTAGTAACTGTACAAATAGTGGCTTTTTTCTTAAGTTGTAATGCCTCCTGATGGATATAATTTTGTGCTTGTATTTAAGATTAAAAGATGAATAAATCACACCAGCTTCCTAAAAATGTCCATAATGCATCTTTTGGAAAAAAAAACAACAACAAGAACACATGCCTACTTTGCATTAACATGGTAAAGATTGTATGAAATACCTGCTTTTCAAAAAATAAATAAAGGTTCAAGTCTTAAAAGATACACTATGTAAATTCTGAATTTATTGAAGTGGATCCCAGAAAGTTTGTTTGGTACACAGTTTTGTGGCTTTCTATTTTTCCCCAAATTAAAATTTAATTCTCAAAAACATTGTTTTACTTGCGTTTGAACAGTGAAAATTTTCTTTCAGTAGGAAGGTTCTTAGAGTCAATGCCTTTAATCTAGGGGATGCAAAGGTAGATCTCTGAGTTTTGAGGCCAGCCTGGTCTACTAGCAAGTTCCAGGCTAGCTGGCCCTATAAAGAGAAACCCTGTCTTGAAAAACAAAAGGCAGTGTATGAAGCTTAATTTGGACAATTTTTTTTTTTTTTTTTTGTTTTTCGAGACAGGGTTTCTCTGTAGCTTTGCGCCTTTCCTGGAACTCGCTTTGGAGACCAGGCTGGCCTCGAACTCACAGAGATCCGCCTGCCTCTGCCTCCCGAGTGCTGGGATTAAAGGCGTGCGCCACCACCGCCCGGCAATTTGGGCAATATTTAAAAGACAAAACTGGCAGACCATTATTGGGAGTGAAAGCTCTGAAGGAAGAGAGTATCTGGCAGAGTTCATTTGCTGTGCCCAGTGTTCTGAGGAAGACTGTGGTACGGGCTTCATCATCTGGTACATTTCAAGAAATCACTTCACGTTGTGGTGCAAAAACAGAAGTTAGGAAGAAAGAGTAGGTTTTTAATCCCTGGGCCATTTGGAAGGTTAGAGCTGGGTTTGGACCTGGGTCTGGGAACAGTCCCTAACAAAAGTGCTCTAGAGAAACTGCCATTTACCTCAGCCTCATCAGCTGGCTTTTACATTTTTCTTGAGTTGTTCTTTGGGAACACGGATCAAACTCTGAAGCTTTCTGAAGCAACAACCCAAGTTCCCAAGGTAGAAATGATGGGTTTTAAAGCCAATTAGTACTCCTGCCTCTCTTATGCAAGTGGGTGCTCCTGGGCTACCAGCAAGATGGGCACCTCACTGTTTAGCCTGTGTAACAGCTGTTTGGGTCCTATTCTCAATACTGAAGTGAAGGAGGGAATTCTCTAGGCTTTAAATCTTCTCAGATAAGGTTTCTGTATCAACCGAGTCATAATATCACCCCCCCCACCACACACACACACGCACACTCACACTTCCTTGAAGTAGCACTTCGCCTGAGCTTCCTAGCCAGCACTGTGTTGTGTTAGTACCTTATCCAAGTATTTTCCACAAGGTCTGTGACAAATTGTATGCCTCTTTCATAGGACCATCATGCTCCAGGTAGGGCCAGGCTTAGGAGCACTGTGTGGTCTTTAACGTTTTTTAAAAAATCTCCCAGGACTTTAAAAACCAGGTGACTACTTAAGGAATGAAATGTGTTAAATGTAAAATACTTGAGGCCAATATTTAATAGGGCTTCCCCCCGACACCCATTAATCTGTATCAGTCTGAAGCGCTCCATCATTTGAATTACTCATCCACCTAGCCATATCTCCATCTGAAGCGCTCCCCTAGCTACCTGAAGTGCGCATAGTTCTATCAATTAAGTGAAGCGCGCCACAAACGATTCCCCAAAGACAGGCTGCAAAAGAAGCCCTTTAAGAGTCGGTACATCTTCCGTGTTCTCATAGGACCTGTTACTGCTGGCGCGATGGCAGCAGCAGTTCTCACGCGGGGGCCGCCAGCCTTCCAGTCACAAATCTTAGCAGGTGCCACAGGAGCCTAAAGCGTCCTCTGCCCTTCTAACCTCCGCTGGCACAGCACTGCGCATCCTCCACTCCTCCAAGCAGAGGCCCGGAGATCCAGCTGGGCGAGCGACTAGAGGCGGCGGTTGAACCGCTTCCTTCCGCTCCGCCCCCAGCGGGCCACACCCTTGTACTCTGATTGGTCGGAGTCCTTCGGCTCCGCCCAGCTTCCCTCTCCTTTGACCTGGATTTCAAGTCATGCGCTGGCTGCCGGTTGGCCTGGCTTCCCAGAAGCCGGAGTGCCATCTACCCAATGAGGAGCGAGTTTCGCGAGGGCTGTCGGGAAAGGCAGCCAGCCTATATAAGCAGCCTGCGGGGCGTTCCCTCGCGCTCCGGTCGCCGTGCGGGTGTCGGTGAGGAGTGTTTTCTGCTCGTTGAGACGTGCGCGTCCCGAACGATGGCGGAGGGGGATAACCGCAGCAGCAACCTGCTGGTGAGTCGCGGTCGTCGGCTTGTCCCCGGCGCTTCCGGTTGGGCCTCCGGGCCTCGGTGACTCCAGGGGGCTGCCAGGCCTGATCCTGCGGCTCCCTGCCCATCTCCACGGTGGCGGTCCCTACTGCCGATCCCCAACGTCCTCCGGGGAGCGTGCACGAAGAGGCAAAGACCGCGCGTGAGGAAGTGTGAGAAGGAGGGCCGTGGCAAGAAGGAACCTGGGTGGCAGGTTGGGGCGCTCGGCCGCTAGGGGCCTTGTCTAGCGCTTGGGGCTCAGGCCGGAGACCTAACCTGTTCTGTTCCGCCCTCTTTGATTTTAATCTCATGTTGGGTAGATTGTATGCGTGGTTCTTTTCCCTTTAAAACTTAGGCAAGGGTGGAGGGAGGGTCAAAGGGCTGCTACAGAGAATTAGTTATCGCTGACACAGAATTTGTTGTAGCTGGCTGCGAGTTCACCACAGGAAGCTGAAATCGGGTTCAGCGGAAAGGACCGTCGGAGGTCCTGGCAGTGGTCTGGGTACTGGAGAAGGGGCTCACAGGACTGGGCGCAATTTTAAAATGATCAACACGGATTTGAGGGAACTGCATGAGGTGGTTGGTGTTAGGAGGACACATTTGCTTCTTTACAGTTTTTGTTTTCATTTTCTCTGTTGTCATTTCCCAGGGAAAGACAGGCCATATCAGAAATGAAAAGAGCAACCAACTTTTAACTTCTGCTTTTGCACTTCTAACAGTCTAAATGCCGGCAAGTTAAGTGTCTACAGGACAGTAGTCACTACAGGATTGTGCAAGATTTTTTTTTCACTTTGCATTGGTGTTGAGAGATGTTTGCCCTGTACCTTAAATTCCCCCTACACCCCACACATACCAGCAAACAGTCCAATAGAGATGCTTACCCTGTACCCTTAAACTACCCCTCCACAACACACACACCAGCTAATAATCCAGTAAGAGGATTAATTGGTGCAAAAGGAAATTGTCACGGGATAGGGCCCACAAACAACTGTTTCTATCAAAGCAATTATCATTTTAAGGAGAACAGTATATGTCTTGGATTTAAAGATATTAACCTCTTTTTGTCTCAGTTTCCTCATCTTAAAAATACCCTTTCCAGTTTTGAGGAACATTCATTGAAGTATAGCATGTAAAATGTTTAGGATTTCTAGTTTGGGGTGATATCAGTATTAAGCATGTAATACAGAGTCAGAAGTACTGTGACATAGATTTCAACTTTATTAAAATTAGTCCAGACTGTTCTCTATCATCTGCATATTCCTTTGTGAAAAGCTTATAGGATCTTGTGGGTTTTGTGTGTATGTGGTTCCTGGGCATTGAATCCAGGGCCCTCCACAGACTGAGCAACTGCTTTCCTACAGAGAGACCTTCTTGTTCTAATTTCCTTCCTTTACCAAAGTCCCTGAAGGCTTTAGGCCACAATAGCTCATCCTAAAGGTGTGCTTTTGACTAGTTGTCAAGTATGCAGAGAAATTTGAAATTTAGCCAAAATTCCATCATCAATGATAAGGAACCATTATGGAAGACTTTAAGTGCCTCCCATAATTTAGAGTACTTTTCTTTAATTCCACAGTCACTGCCAACATCGAAGTAATTCCATTATACAAAGAGCTATTTTAGAGATTGTGTGTACTGACTGTTTTCCTGATGGATTTTTAGAAGGGCTTAAATCAATAAAATGACCAATCAACAGATCAATGCCAACCACCTGAAATGAGCAAACATAGAGTAGCCAACAATTTAGTAATATTGTGAGCACTGCTTCATTACTCTGTAAGTGAATTTGGGGATATTAGTTAACCATATTAAGCTCACTTGCATTAATATTGAAATATTTATCCCCACATTGTGAAACCTTGGGAGTATTATGTTGCATCATGGACATATAGCCCAGTGCTAACGCGACCATTAAGGGCTAGGCTTTCTTCTACCCATGGATTTTCATGTTTGGTGCCAAAATTGCAGTTTTTCATGACTCAGCTTGTTTAAGATAACAGTTTTGATGGCTTAGAAGGTTTTTACTCTCTCTGAGCCACCAAAGTGTTGAGATTGGTAAAGTAACACTCTTTGTTTTCTTTTATTGTTGGTTTTTTGAGACAGGGTTTCTCCATGTAGTTTGGTACCTGTCCTGGATCTCTCTCTGTAGACCAGGCTGGCCTTGAACTCACAAGCCTTGCTCTGCTTCCCAAGTGCTGGGATTAAAGGTGTGGTGCTGCCGCCACCACCACCACCACCACCACCACCAGGCTAAAGTAACACTCTTAATTGTTGGTTATGTAGGCTGCGGAGACTGCGAGTCTAGAAGAGCAGCTGCAAGGATGGGGAGAAGTGATGCTGATGGCCGACAAAGTCCTTCGGTGGGAAAGAGCCTGGTTTCCACCTGCCATCCTGGGTGTGGTTTCCCTGCTGTTCCTGTAAGTGAAGGATTCGATTGCTTAGTGCTCAGATGGCCATAGCCTTTGCTTAGGGAAGCTTTTGTAATACATAATCCAAAAGGAATGCCTTTCTTACAAGCAGCTTACCCAGTTTCTAGAATTTGTAGTCCTTATGTAAGGTTGTAACCTGATACAGTTGAGTAAATCCTGCACACTCACTTTTGTGTTTGAACACCTTCCCTTTATAGTCTTTTCTAATAAATATTGAGGACCCCAGAGTTTTTGGTTTTTTGAGACAGGGTTTCTCTGTGTAGTTTTGGTGCCTGTCCTGGATCTCACTCTGTAGACCAGGCTGGCCTTGAACTACAGAGATCCGCCTGCTTCTGCCCCCGGAGTGAGGGCTGGGATATGCACCCCTACTGCCAGCTGGACCCCAGAGTTTTTGACTGTTGCTGTTTACATGAACT